GGGCACTGGGAAAGGTGCTCCAGGGGACACACCTAGCTTGGGAAGCCATCTAGCTTGAGGAGGTGGCTGGAGCAGCAGAGGGAGAGACAAGGGAGAGCCTTGCTTGTGGGAGAGTACATTCAGTACAGCCAAGCTTTGGAACCAAATACTGCAATTTCTTGGATATTTACATCTACAAAATGGTTCTAAAAATGAATGGATTCTCTTCTGTCAAGTTTTAGTGGTTTTAGTTAAAATAGAGACCATAAAGAAATAGGTGTTTGTAAAAACAGGTCCATTTTTTGTGGAGCAGTGCTAGATGCAAGTTCAAATAAAACACTTTGAGCAACCTGCCTGTGTAACCACTGTCTCTTTAGTTTTGTTAAACTGTATTTTCTACCCCAGGATGCTGAGAACCACTCTGTGAATGTCTCCCATTTCTTAGGAATGATATGCAGGGACTTTTTATTGCGTTTAAGCCATTACAGTCAAAACAGAAAGTCAGTGTCTCAGTTACTGGGGACTCTGTCAAGTGCTCTCAGGCTCTAACACAGCAGCCAGACTTCCAAAGGCTCTTTGAATAACTGAATCACAAAATCCGTTAGCTTGGCCAGGAGGAGGTGGAGAGCTTTGAGGTGATCTTTGATGCATTTTTCTTTTTTTCATTGAGAAGTTCAGGTATATATGTTTTTTAGAAGAAAAGTTCGTATATTTGTGTTTTCATCTGAATTAATTCTAGTCACTGTCAGAATAAAAAAAAGATTGTTTGTGCATAACAAGGACAGCAAAAACAAAGGCCCTTCATTCTGCATATGAATTAGTCTGCAAATATAAAGGTAGGGTGGAAAATGTTAATTTTATGTTTGACCACAATGAGCAAAGGCAGAAATCTCTAACTTCTAATTAGTGCATTGTTATTGTATGTCTCTTTTAAATATCAAACACCAGTTCTCTTTTTAAATGTGTAAATAGTAACACTCAATGTTCTGAGATATATCATTCTAGTACTCTGTTGATTTAATGTAATATTTGGAAATATTTTCCTTTGCTTTTGCTTTATTGTGAAAGTTACGGCTTTTATTTAAGAATGCTGAGGACCTTGGACTGTTTCTATGGATCATTCTCTCTGTAATTTTTGGTTTTGTGTTTGGCAAGTGTATAATTTTTAATCTTCATAATCAGCAACCAAACACAAGAGCAAGAAGTAAGATAATTTATCTGTACTGTCAGTATTTTGAGTTCTTACATGGTAAACAAGTATTATGGTAAATGCAAAGTATTGTATGGACTAAGATTTGAAACACTTGCATAGCCTCGGACTTGGTCTTGGACCCTCTTTTTCTCATCTCTTGGAACTTAAACCCAGCCTTTCCTGCAGAGAGCTTTGACTGGGGAAACTGTGATGGTTGGTTAACAATGATAAATTATTATCAAAAAAGCAATAAATTCACCAGCAAAATCGAGGAAAGGATTGATCAAGAGTAAGTGTAGTAACCAACCCTGATTGGCCTTGACTGTTAAAGAAAAGGACACTTTTAATTGCCAGGCTGGCTAGATACTGATCTCTTGCAGGGATCCATGAAACCACTCTCCCTGCTGAGGAAGCAGGGAAACATGAAACAATGAAACCTGGGGTGGTGGTAGAAGGTCTGCCTCCAAGGACCTGTAACTTCTACTGCTAATATCTCAGCTGATTCATTGTAATCTGGCTATTTCATGTGTTTAGATTTACAAACACTTGGAAGGAAAGGATCCAAAACTGCTTGGTTCTCAAATGCAGACTGGGCTGACACAAATACATCCATCCAGAAGTTGGGAGATGGAATGTAGAGACTGGGATGCAAGGTTAGAGAAAAGAATAAATCTTCACCGTTCATGTAGTAGATGATCTAACAACTGATTTAAATTTCATTACACCTAATAACACTAACATCAGGGCTTATGATTTCAGTCCACAGAAAATCACCTTAGCAATGGTGAGATAAATGTTTTGGGAACAACTGATGCATAACAAACAAGTTATTCTCCCCTCTGAGTCCAAATAGTGTTGAACAGCTGTGTGCAGGTTCAGCTTTCCAGTAGAGAAAGCTGGAAAATACTAGGGAAGTCTTAAGGCATCAACTCACATGTGACACTGACTAAATGCAGATGGCTTTAGTGGTTGCTGTCTTCAGTTTTATGCCTTGCCTGTATCTCTAAGGCTGCTGCTGCAGTACTGGCTGAGTTATATATGAAATATGTGTGTTTACATTTATGAGCCAAACTGTAAAAATGGAGCAGAGTCACATAAGCCACCACTTGTAGCTGCTGAAATTCTTGTGGCTGGGAAATATGAGTGGAGTGTTCTTGCTTGCTGGATGCAGTAGAGGAGCAGTAAATAGTAAAAATTACTGTCATTCAAAATGTGCAGAGAGAAAATCCAAAGTTCATTTTATTTGGGCTGTTTTCCTGTTAAATTGTATCAGAAAGAGAAAAAGATTCCAGTAATCGCAAAAGTGTGGTTTAGCATGGCTAGAAATGGCAAGGATTCTTGTGACTATTCCTGTTCTTTGCCTGCTTGTGAAAACTTTCACCTTAAGCACAGATGGCCAATGCTGACAATTTTGAGACATAGTTAAATTATTTGGAGCAAGGGCTAGATTTTCAGAACAGCAGTGCTTATCATTGTAGAGGGGAGAAAAAAAAATCAAAACAACTAGAAGAAATTAGTTATAAACTGCTTGGGGAAACTTTGTGATTAGCTTCGGGTCTAGACTCTGACATATTGACACCAACTTGGCAGACACTTGCAACAACTGCTGTAGTGAGATTTTGCAATTCTGGAGAGGCCTGGATGGGAACATGTTAGTCCTGTTGCCACACAGACAGAAGAGCCTTGTTGGAAGGCTGATTGCAAACACTAGAGATCAGTTTCTCCATCTTATCAGGAACTTTTGCTCATTTTGTCCTCATATGTTGCAGAAATGCAGATAGTAATGGTTCATTCACAACTGGATAGTCACAGGGACAGTTGGTGTAGTCTGGCAGGAATGGGCTACAGAGCAGGTGAAACCTTCTCAGAAACTAGATTTTCATACTGGGATATTAGGTAATTGGAAAAATCATCTGGCAGTGTTGAGAAAGTGTAGCATCTCCATGTCAACCGCAAGGAAGGGTCTTCTGAGCCCAGAGGAATTTGGCATTCTGAGCGAAACACTCCTCTGCAGGCACGAGGAGCTAATGGGTGACAGATTAAGAATTCAGCTGATTATAGCAGCCATCCAAGACCTTTCCAATACTTGATGATGACCATATGGCTGCTGTGCTCTTTGTAGAAGCTTTGGCTGGAGGAAAGAAGGGTTTCTACAGATATAATCAGAATGCAGCAGGAACCATCATCAGTGTTTCAGTTCCAGGCACTGATGTGTTGCAAAAAACAGTTGTGAGAGTTAAGCTGTTGTGCGGCGTGGGAGAGTGTTCATCAGCATCTGTGTGGGTCCTTGCATCAGCCAGAAAGCAGCTGTGAACCATTTCATTGGCAAGTTCAAGGTTTTCTCACTAAAATATCAAGAGCCTTTGACTGTGGTACAGTTTCCAGTTAATGAGCCTTCCACCTGATGTGTGAGCTAGGATTCCAGAAAAGCGAGTGCACCCAGCACATCCTGTTCCTCTTGGTGACTTACTGACCAACAGTTGATGGGAAACAGCAGGTAGCTGACCACTTCTTATCTTGGGCTTTAAATTAGACTCAGTCTGATCTGTTCAGGAGAGCTCCTGACAAGGCACAGAGAGGTATCTCCAGAGACCCAGAAAACAGAATACAGTGTGGGGGAAGTGTCCTTTTGTAAGAACTAAATTAACCTGATCTCTAGGAATTGAGAATTCCTAGGATCAAGAGAAGGTGATTTTGGATGATCAGTCATATGTTTGAAAAGAAACGTTTTCAAATAATTGCCAGTTTTGATTCCACCCACAAGGCGGAAATCCCACAAGGATTTCCAGCCCACAAGGGTGGAAAGCAAAAGTCTGCTAAACGTAGTGGGTTTGGTAGTTTTATTTTGGTGCATTGACTCTTCAGAAATTTTACATTTTGAGTTACTCTTGTGTAGAAAAGACAGAATATAATTTTTACAGAAAAAAAAAATTTTCTTTATTGCCTAAGAAAATCCTCATTACTCCTTGAGCAATGGATCACTGAATCCTGGTTCCTGGTGGCATTCGCCATTGTCCAAATCTTCTCTTCCTTTTCCTGGAAAGCTGGCTACTCTCCTTTCCCTTTTTACCCCTTCTCCATGTCCTCTCCTCTGACTTTCACAGGTTCCCAGCAAGACCTGGCTGAGGCAGCAATGGGCCCCCTGTGCCATCATGCTGGTTCAGGCACCCATCACACCTGCAAAACACCCTCCTCTCCCTCCTTCTCTCTCTCTCTCCCTTTCCTTCCCCTACTCTCCCACCCCACATTTCCTAATTATTTAAAATATTTGGTTTTTAATCGGACCAGGAAAAATTTAGGATCAATCTTTTGGAGAGGGTGTGGAAATGCTAATAGTGTTAAGCAGAAGCAATGAACTCACATCCCTTCATTCCAGTTCACGGTTTTTCTTTATCCTATAGAGACTAATGTATGTTGTTAATGTTGCTGGTAATCTCACCCAATTTTGCATCTCTGTCTTCATCCAAGAAAACCACCTTAAGTACACACTTAGCTCGAAGAATATGAATAGCTAAAAATTCTGAAAAATAATAAAGGAACAAAGTCAAAGTTATAGAGAGTCACAGTAATCCTGAAAATTTTATACAAAGATAAACTTCCCACTTCTTTTCCTATTTACACTGAGTTAGTTTGCTTATAGAAGCTTCTTGATATGCTCAGGTTGCCAGAAGACCAATGCTTGGAGAACTCTGTGCAGCGGCTTGTTCTTGTTACTGTGCTGTGCTCGCTTAGGATTTGGGCTGGTTTTTTTAAAAAAAAAAAGAAAATACACTAAAAAAAGTTAAGCATTTGTTGATGTGTTTCCTGCCTCCCACTCACTGTGTTTCAGGAAATCTTTGGAAGAACTGGACATGGATAAAGTAACAGCAGCCATGGTACTAACCAGTTTGTCCACCAGCCCTTTGGTCCGCAGCCCTCCTGTCCGACCCAACGGTAAGTCTTTGGAGCCAGGGGCTGTGGGAAGGGGTGCCAGGGCCCTGTATCAGGGGGCTTGTTTCCAGTTGTGGCCAGGGTGGAGAACAAATGGTGAGTGGCTTTCTTCTGGTATGTTGGGGATCATACTGAGCTTTGCTCCAACCTAGTAAAAGTCTTTGGTGCAGCACTGATAGAAATGAAAAGAAACATTTTCTTTAACTGTAGGGCAGCTCTAGTTTATGAAATGGGAGATGCCCATTCCATATATGGGATATGAGCACTTTAAAAAGTCTCTTGACATCACTGAAACACTTAATTTTTCAAAGAGTTTGTTTGCACTTGCACACATACAGTCCTAGAATTGTAGAATGGTTAGGATTGGCAAAGTCCTCTAAAATCACCAAGTCCAGCCATCAACCTGGCACCACCACCATGTTCACCTCTAAACCATGGCCTGAGTGCCATATCCAGGAAACATGATAGCAGTTGTTCTTGTCATCCACTCCATGGAAATGAGATCAGATTTTACCCAAAGCCACAATAATGCAAAGCACTTCCAGATCACAGCCCTTGGCTGAGAGGCTGTGCAGTAGCAATCTGCACAGCAAGCAGTTCTGCTTCTCTCTGCACCTCCAGTTCCTGTGCTGTGTGTAACTCTCTGCTGGTCTTCCATCAAATCCATAATTCATTTAAAGACTACTGTATTCATGGCATAGCAGAAGACACACAAATAAAAACAAATATAAAAAGTTTCAGGTAATGAAGAGATCAATTATGAAATATAATTGATCTATGCAAGATTGAGTAAAGTTACAATAGGTTTTTAGGAATATTTTATTTTAAGGAATGATTTAAATTAGGACACCCTTATTAGGGTACCTCAGCATTGTTTGTATGACTGACTCTTCTTAATCACTTGTTACTGCTAAAAAAAACACTAGATGCTCTCCTACTGTCAGTAATTGGAAGACTGAGAAATATTTGCTTTTCTTTATAGAAACAGGCATGATCCACTGTATGATGTTCTTAAAGGAATTCATAGCAAATGTCAATGCTGTGGTTTTTCATTTATTTTCAGAAAATGTTAGCTTTATCCATTTAGTTGGAATTCTGGCCATGAACACTCATGGCCTTTGTTCATGTGCTTTCCAGTGTTGAAAGCCAGAAGTGTTTATGGGAGTGCCACTGCTCTGAGGAGCCCTGGGAAACCTCAGGCACTGACATTCCTGGTGACTGTCACACCTCAGGACAAGATGCTACCAGCCCCTGGGAAAGGCCAGCAGAAGGGTAAAAGCACACCTGCTCTCCAGCTGCTCAGCTCACAGACAAAACCACAGCTGAAGATGGATCTGTGCTGATGTGGCAGGCAGGGATTTGGTGTGGCCAAGGGACACATCCCTGTCCCGGGGAGCTGCTCTGCTGTGGGTGAAGCAGTATCTGCCACCTTAGTCTGAGCAAGTGACACTTATCAGAAGCAGCAGCGCACATTAGCTGCAGCTGTCAATTGGAAAGATCTTCCAAACAAGCTCTTTTGAATTGCTAATAGGCAAATGGTGGCTGTTTAACTGCCTTTGATATTTCTCAGCGTAGTCTGAGTGCTCTTTGATATTTCTTTATATAGCTTGTCTGCTTGTTTCCCAAAATATGGGAGAATTAGCCTGAAAATGTAATTCACATGTTTTCTGTAGTCACAGACAAGATTTTGAAGCTGGTTTTGGGCACCTTCTCCCTGAGTATCTTAGTTTTGCCTTAGTCAAGGCTTACTAAAGACTTGAATAGAAGTATAAAGACTTGATAATTTAAAGTTTATTTGGTGTTGCAAGGCTAGGCTCTGATCCTAGTAATACAAGCAACAAATATATTAGTGATTAGTTTTTTTCTACATGCTTTTCCAAAAAAAGGGCAATAAGTAGCAGTATAATTAAAGGACCATTTGTTAAAACAAAAATAATTTTGCCTAGAAGTAAAAAATTTAACATTAGCATTAATATTAAAGTCAGATCCATGCTGGAATTCCTGGGAATGATCACCCATGTAAACTGGATCAGAGTTTGGCCCTTGTTTCTCTGCAGTTGAATAATATTTGGTCTGGTTCTCTTTCACGCAACTCCAGCAATGTGAAAAGAGCCCCAAAATAAGAGTAAGTTGCATTTATTTATATATTAAACTTCTTTACATTAATAGATTTGTTAGTATGAATGAGAACCAGTGTTTGATTTTTTTCCTGTTGTTAACCTCATTCAGTCTTTTTCATGCTACTTAAAAAAAAGTTCTTGATTTACATCTCTTTCTCAGCAAGGTGAGGAGAAGCTCACACTGAGATTACAAAGTACCACCATAACTGTTTCAGAAAATAGTAATTGAAAGGGTATTCCTTTGTTTTTCTGAAGACATGGACATTTAAGCTATGCTAAGGTCACAAGTTGATACCAGATGTAATTTTTTGCTTTGGCATAAGACTGAAGCACCAAATATTTAAAAGAATCAAATCCCACCTTCATTATAGTCAACATTATGAAGGTTGTAATCATGAGACAAAACATGACATTTTCATATGTTAACTGCAGAACTACCAGAATGTGTATGTTTGTCCTTTTCCAAAGAGGAATTGGGCAGGGTGGAGGGAGAGGATCAATTCCATTTATGCTGTGTGGTCCTGATCAGTAAATCAGTACTACTGTAGCAGCTGCCTACTCAAGGGGGCACTGTGTTCTCTTTTTTTGAACAGCTGATGTTAGTCATTAAGGATTTTGTCCAAAACCAACTGAATTAGGAGAAAAAAAAATCAAAAAATCACTGGTTTGGGGGTAAGCTTTTGAGAGCTCACTTTCTTGCCAATATAATTTGTTAAATTTATCTGTAAGAAATTGAGAAGGAAAGAAGGAGTGACTTCTGCAGATCTTTTAAAGACAGGCACTGGCTTGAAAGGACTTGTCTCACACTTAAATACTATTTCATGAACAGATAAGATGTTATTTGCTTGCCAGCTCCGAAGTCAGGTGTTGCACAATACTCAGGCGCCTACAGTGTCTTTGGGAAAAGCTTCCAGTGCCTGAGTTAGGGAAAAGCCGCACCGAAACCTTTCCTGCGCATTTGCCCAAGCCCTGTGAGATCCTGAGGGCCCTTCAGAGCCGCCTGCGGCTGCGCCCTGGATGTGCTGGGCCATGGCTCCCCTGAGCTGATGGCCTGCATACTCCTCTGCTGCCAGAGGCCCTTCAGGGACTGGCAGGAGTGACATGCCAGTGTCTAAAGCCCAAGGACTTCTGCATGCGCCGCATGGCTCAGGCTGTGCCTCAGACTGCACAGCAGTGCTGTTACTCCCTCCCATGGTGCTGCAGGGTGTGAGCTGTCAGTGCAAGTGTCTCCTTAGCATGTAATGGATGGGGAACTGCGGCACTGAGCAGGCAGCTCCTCCAGCAAGTAGGTGTGGAGGTGATCCAGTGTCTGTGTGTTCCACTTCTGAAACAAGATGCCTGTGCACCTGCATATCCCAGGGCATACATACCACCTCATGGAGAGATTCAGTTTAGGCAGAGGCAAGTGTATTGAGAGATTGTAAGAACACAGAGTGTAACTATGGTTTTCTTTGGTATTTTAGTGCTGGGAAGATGGTCATGTTTTTGTGGATCTGCTCAGTATTTTGGGGCTCAGAGTGTGTGTCCCCTTCCCAGGAGATCCCCTTTTGGCCATCCGGTGTCTTGGAGCTTGCTTTGGTGCCGCACCAAGGTCATGTGTTCCCATTGAAAGTTGAGGATGTATTTAGAATCATAGAATAGTTTGGGTTTGCAAGGACCTTTAAGGGTCAATTCAAATGTTTTCCTTAAATCATGCATGTAAATATATGACCATTTATTGATGTTTATGCTTCAGAACAGGTTATCTTTTCAAATGCAACATTTCTTTTTAGAAAAATACTTTGCTGATTTTGTTTGTTTTAACTTAAGTAAAAATCAAGTGTGGAATATGTAATTTGTGTGCAGTGGGTTAGATATAGTTGTCCTCTCTTACATCCAATGCTTTCACATTTCTTTACTGAATGTGCAGTTAATTACCCACATGGCATCTAAACCTTAGAAAAAAGAGCTTCTTAGCCCTCTCACAATGATACTGTTGTAATAATAGTGTTTGTTGTTCTTGACAGAATCCCTGAATGGATCTTGGAAAGAAGGAGGATTTGTGCCTTCTAGTACCAGCAGCAGTGGATACTGGAGCTGGAATGCTCCCAGTGACCAGTCCAACCCATCCACCCCATCTCCACCTCTGTCAGCTGATAGCTTCAAAGCTTTTCGGACGCCTTCCCAGCCAGATGATGGTATTGATGAAGGTGAAACAAGCAACCTTCTCTTCGATGAACCCATTCCTAGGAAGAGAAAGGTTAGCCTCATGTTACATTCCATACCCACAGGTAGATAGGATGTTGGTAGGCTTATTTTGTTGTGAGAAAGGAACAGGTCACCCAAATGCCTCTGCTTTGTATCCTTCCTTGGCATCCATTTAACATAGGGACTTCGCCTAGTCACTGTGTCTCATTCAGCATGGTCACCTCCTGCACACACATGCTGCCATCAGCACCACATATTTCCTGCCAGATGGTGAGGTGCCATAAAGCCTCCTGCTCAGAAAACACTAGAGGGATTTCCAGAAGGTGTTGCCTCTGGCCATCCAAGGGTTTTCTGTCCTACTTTGATAAATTCTCTGTGCGCAGGATGCAACAGGCAGCATTTACATGTCATCACAAAAACTGACTATGGCCTTAATACTCCTTGTTCCCTGGAAGTGCTGTTTATCTGACAGCATGTCAGATACCTTAATATTGTGAAGGTTTTTCTGCACAAACATATGGAGTGAAAATGGAGAGAGAGAGCTCAAACCCGATGGCTTTTGATATAGTATTAGTATTAGCCAAATTTATCCTCAGTTGGAGTGCAAAAGCAGGCTAAATAAAACATGACATAAAAAAACGAAGGTCCAAAACTAACCCCAAAAAAGCACCGTTTCTAGCCAGCAAGCTTCTCTGGAAGAAAAAGAAAGCAAAGAGATGGCACTAGTCCATGTTCCCTTCCCCTCCAACACAACAGGACAGATTTTACATAGCAAGATGTAAAAGGACTTTTTGTAAGTAGAAAAAACAGAGAATTTATTCCCTTAGTGAATTTGTTTCTGGCTCAGTCTGAGACAGTTAATTGCTTCATCACCAGCAGGAAGAAGTTTTAATGATTGTTTAAACCTGTTCAGATTTATCCTTTTGCTCCAGAAGCTGCTTATTTGCTGACCCATGCAATTGTTCCTTTGTTCATGGGAAAGGGCTGAAAATGTTTGTGCATCTTGCTAAGACGGAAAAAAGTATTTTGGAGGTTACAATAAATTAGAAGTTGGAGCTGAGTGTTGCACTAAACAGAGAGACAATTTGGGGGCGTGTGGGATAGGAGGAGTGTAGAAGTGTCCTGCCTGCCTTGCCTCTTACTTCTCAGTTAAACTTCATCTTACTAGCACCACTCTTAACTGCTCAGCTGTGATGAGACAGCTGGGTTTGCACTGCCATCTTTATTGTTTTCTAAGTTGCTTTCAAATATTTCTATTTATGTACCCACTATAGGTCTATTACACTATCTGCTCTGGTTCACAGGGATTTTGCTTTGTATGGCAAATGTTTTATTTAGATAAACAGTAACATTCCATGCCAAACTTGTTTCTATAAAATAACTTGCTTTCCTGCAGGTTTTTTTCTGTATTCTGGCTCCAGCATGGTACTTGATCTGAGTACAAGTTAGCATCTTTAGAAGCTGAAACAAAACCATTCAGGTTACTCATTCTTCAGGGCTGCAAAAGTCAGAAGGAGTAAACTTGGAGATAAAGTAATTGATAACCTTACTATTTGCTTAAAAGTTCCTCTAAGGTAGTTATTCCTCACCAAACCATTTATGTTCTACTATTTTATTAAATAAAACATTAAACCTGAATAGGTAATTTTGGAAAGGAAATGGAAGAAATATAAGGATGTTCTTTATTTCTACTGAGTGAGCTTTCAGTTGATTATGTTAAAAGTGCATGGGTTTTTGCAAACTCCTACCAGTGACAATAAATTCAAAACCACAGTGGAGCTAGGAGACTTATTTTACCATCAAACTGGGGATGGATGTTAAACCATTCTGTGCTCATAAATATGCATATGGTGTTTATGATATCATATTGGAATTCCTAGGATGTCAGTTATAAACATGGCCTTCATCTTGTTGACATGGTGGTTACTTGTGTGTTTTTGAGCTGATAATAGTATTTAGTATTATATTATGGAAGTAAGAAAAGTATGAATCAGAATTGCTATATGGATTATATTTAATTTGAGAAAAGAAAGAGTTCTGTATCTGTTTGACTGATAGTTGTGTTATCAAATAAAAAGTAGGCAATTTATGTACAATTTATTCCTAACAGAAGTTTTTCATACAACCAGTATGATCAAGTACCTCAAATCTCAAAGCCCTAAGCATTAATACTTTAAAACAGGAGATATTAGACTGCAAGGAACTATGAGAACATGCTGCTACAATCAACTTGTATTTTAAAAAGCCCATCCACTGAGATTCTTTTTTAAGTTATATTCTAATCATCATTTTCTAGTAAATGCTAAAACCATCTCCTGGCATGCAGTTCCAAAGGGTCCAAATTGAAGAAAGCATCAAGTCAGCTTTTATTCAAGGCACAGTGAAATGTACTTAACCCTAAGGATGTGCTCGTTCCCTCTCCTTTTTTTAAATTGAGTTTTATATTAATATATTAATTTAATCTTATATGTAACTAAAATTATAGATCAAAAATAAATTATTTTGATGTTCTTCCTCATGTTAATAATGTGTTCTGTAATAATAGAAAAAAATATTTTTAAGAATTACAAGCTATTTAGTATTCTTTTTTTATTTAAACTGTACAAAATCAGTTTTATTTTGGGATAAAATTAGCTTTTAAATAACTCCACAGTTCGTAATATCTGTGTTGTTTTAAGACTACTTTTCTCCAGAGTCTTCAAAATGTTGAAGATTGGCCTTATAATAGCCTTGTTGTCTGTGCACTAAATCAGTGATAACTCCATGGGGATCAATGAAGTTATATTAAAGAATATAAAAAGAGTATTTAAATGAGATTATATCTGTATTTTTAAAATATTGAACACAGACTGATAACTTCTCATTCTCTTGTCTGAGTAAGGTCCACAGCAGCTTCTGAGTGAAACAAAAGCAGGTTGTGCCAGCTCATGGTAAATATGGACATAATAGAAGCTATGTTTTTCTGGCACAATATTTTTTGTGCTGCAAATATCATAAGCAGAAACATTCATAAGAGCTTGCTTTGGAAAGGCCTTAATTTAAGAAGATACCTTGGATTAAGTAAGACGTCCTCATCAGGGTTTTTTGAAATAAGTGTAGGAAGGTTTTATATCATATACCTCCCTTAGTGGAGGAACTGAAACTTATAAATGCAAAAGTCTTGCAATGAACAAAGAGAGGTAAAGTTTTGTCACAAGCTGCTCCTGCAGCTTTTCACTGGATTCTCTTGAATTCAGTAGGGTGACACATTTGACAAGAGAATATTAGATCACTACAAATTTGGAGTCAAAGGCTCTGAGTATTCACAGTCTTCTTTGTAACTGTTTATCTGGTAGTGTGGGGTTTTTTCTACATTCACAGAATTGCAGAGTCACAGAAATTTTCAGCCCTTCACCCAGCACTGCCAAGTCCAGCCCTAAACCACGTCCCCAGGCAGCACATCTACAAGTCCTTTAAATACCTTCAGGGTTGGTGACTCAGCCATTTCCTTGGGCAACCTGTTCCAATGCTTGACAACCCTTTCAGGGAAGAAATTTCTCCTAATATCTTTACAACTTCCAATTTTCAGAACTCCATGAAGGTGATGTTCAAATGCCTCTGGAAGAACTGTGGGAAGGTACTGAGCACAGCTGCAGGGATTCAGAAACACATACGGACCATTCACCTTGGGTAAGAGAGCAGTCTTTTTGGGTCTGAAGGATTTGGTATAGAAGAGGAGCAATTGCCCTTGGCCGGAGATATTAGCTGGATTGTCCTTGGCTTCTCTGTCTCATAATCCCTCTGTTTTTGAGGAAATGTGGAATAGTGCATCAAGGTGAATGAGCACTTATTCCAACAGCAAGGCACTTTCTTTCCTGAAATTCTGTCAGCTTTGCTAGAAGGTCAAATAGAGCTTGAGGTTACACTGCACTTGCCTGTCAGCTGCACAGCTCAGTGCTATTACATCATATGTGCTGTGTGCACATTATGTCTGGGATGACACTCTGTAGTAGACAGGTTCAGGGTCTTGCATGAATACTTTTCAGCTTTGTTTCACATCAGGTCAGGTGCTTGTGCCAATTCTGAGTTGAATTAATGCAAAAATAAAAAAATTTATGCAAAAAACCCCACCAAAAACCACAAACCACGTAAGAAACATAAAAATAAAAGGAAACTGAGATGCATGTTGTCATGGTTCAAAGTACCACAAAGCTGTTCACTCACTATTTCCTTCCTTCCCTGGAAGAATCAGAGGAATAAAGAGTAAACCTCATGGGTTCAGACAAGAACAGTTTAATGGCTTAAACAAAATAAAACACTGATGATAATAATAACAGTAATACTGATGACTCTAATACTTTAAAGGAAAGGGGAGAGAGAAACTAAACTGAAGAGAAACGAGAGATGCACAGTACAGCTTCTCACCACCTGCTGACCAATGCCCAGCCTATCCCCAAGTAGTGATCAGCATCTCCCAGCTAGCTCCCTGCAGTGTATTTACAGAACACGATATCCTATAGTATAGGCTGTTGTCCAGGCTGTGCTTCCTCCCAGCTTCTGGTGCCCCTGCTCACTGGCAGAGCATGGGAAACAGAAAAATTCTTGATGTAGAGTAAGCACTGCTCAGCATCAACTAAAACATCAGTGTGTTATCAACACTCTTCTCAACCTAAATCCAAAAGACATCTCTGTGCTAGCTACTTGGAAGAAAATCTCCAGCCCAGACAAAACCAGGACACACATGTATGTTACTTGGACTAGAAGCAAAAGCAAATTATTCTTTTAGGAGATGAGTTTGTTTCAGAGCTTTAGTTTGCAATTGAATTCTCCCATGCAATTCACTGAGTGATGTACCTGTCTCATTTATAATTACAGTTGAGATTCACAATCCATCTGTTAGGTGAAAATACATCTCTCTGTAGGTCTGTGTTGCCCACAGCTTAAAAATTAAAGCCACCACAAGAAAGATCTGGAGCTCAGGATGGTCTTAGAGAGGTCAGCAATTACCATTGGGCTTAAGAGTAAGGCTGTGGGAAACAGAAAATCTCTCTCAAAATGCAGTTAGGAATGTTGATTTGTGCTTTATATTATGGGGACATGTGGTGTGGGAGAGGCAGAAATAAACCGCAAAACCTTTCTGGAATTTGCTGGAGCTAGAAACTTTTCTGGAAAGAGTAATTTTGGTGAATGACTAGCTACATTCTGATGGATGGTACTTCTGGTAGAGCCTTTCAAACCTGCTGGACATATGTTCTCTTAACAAGTTCTGATTTGGACTTCAAGATAATGTGTAGTCTGCTGGGAGCGCTTTGACTTGGTTGCTTCACTGTTAGCACTTGTGCTCACATGCACATCAGATGAAACTTTAAAGCAATTAAACCTCCTACATGCCCTCCTTCAATAAGTCTGCCTCTGGAGAGCAGGACCAGAAAGTCCTGGCCGTGGCAAGCCAGCCCATATGAGTGCTTTCTTTGTGTCTGAGTGAGTTGCATGGTGAGACTGTTTTCTAGCAAATTCTTCTGTTATGTTACAGAAAATTACAGTGAATGGCAGCCATAAGTATATTTGGTATAATAAAGTAACTTCTGATAAGATTGCATATTGTTTGCTGTAACATGAGTGAAGTATATCTTGCCTGTATCTATTATCTTTGCTGTGACTTTCAAAGATAGAGTGCATTGAGGTTCTTGTTAACTTTACAATAGTTAAAATGAAAAGCTGATACTTGATCTCAGGGAGTCACACATCTACTCCAAGGTGAAAGAATTGGTCAAGAACAACACAGAGAGGGGAAAAAAGTAATTCCTACTTTTTTTCCCCTGCAGATTAGGTGATTTTCCTCTTCCCCTTACCTGCAGTCAGAATGCAGATAAAGTAGGAAGGTTTGAAACTGCAAATACTAATTTATTGACAATATTGATATATTCACTCATGCATCTAGAACTTAAAATTTACCTTGGGGTTCTTGCTTTAAATCAATTCTTACTTCTTTCTCTTGATACAGACGAGTAGGAGAGTCTGACTACAGCGATGGAGAGGAGGATTTTTACTATACAGAAATCAGGCTCAACACGGACTCAGTAGCTGATGGCTTAAGCAGTCTTTCTCCAGTCTCTCCATCTTTAGCATCTCCTCCTTCCCTTCCTACCCAAGAAGCAATCCGTCCTGAAACTTCCTGTGCCAAAACCGAGACTAAAGTGATGACACCTCTGAGCCGCTCAGCTCCTACCAACCTCTACCTCGTACACACGGACCATGCTTACCAGGTAACACCAGTGCCAGGAGCTCCAGTCATTACACTAATATCACTAATGTGTAAAGGAATGGCACATCACAGTGTTTGGATTTTAATGGGCTGAAAGGTTTTCAGAGCAGTCAAAGGCATTTTTTAAAATTTAAACTGAGATGTATTCTTCTGAGTTCATTGTTTGTTTATGTGCCTGCCACAGCCACTGGATTTTGGGGTGCTGTTTATCCAGCCATAGGTACATACTTGAGGTTGAGAAGAGTTGATCAGTGTATCCCACTGCCTACATCAGTTCAATTTTCACTGACCGTAGAGTCAATTTTCACTGAAAGTAGAGGCTTTGAAGTAGTGTGGTCCATGACCTGCATATGCACTGGAGAACTGAATTCTGTTAAATTTACCAGATTCAATAACTATCATATATAGCATTGTGCAGATAAAACTTTTGTGTTGTGTTTGGAGCACACCTACTAAAACGTCAGAGGGAGCTAAAGAGAATTCACAGGCTTGTTTTAGACTTTTGTGCATGTTGAAAAGTGTGGGTGGAAGCTTGGCATCACAGGTGGAAGCTGCATCAGGTAGCAGGCCAGTCTGGGGACTGATGAAGCCAGTTAGGAGAAAGATTTGCTTCTCAGTGTAGCTTAAGCCTTGCCTCAAAGAGTGAGGCAACAAGTCTAGGCTAATGACAAGTTTTGCTTCATTTGGGATTTGCATGACAGTCTGCCCTGCTGTTTGGAGACCCACTCAACCCTTTTTTACAAGCCTCGGAGTAAAGCACTTGGCTAAGGAAATCCTAATTCAAGTGTTTAAAGTCCTTGAATTGGATTTTAATTGATGTATTCCATGACACAAGACTACAAGTGCCTGAGGCCCGTGGGCTTTTCAGGTTGCTGTGGTTTCAGTGCTTAATTTCATCAGTGAGGAGTGACACAGTCCACACTGTTCACAGCTTGCTAATTGGAAGCAGGAGGCAGGGTCCCTGCTCAAACATTCAGGCTGTCCTGGCAAAGGAAGCAGCTTCTGTAGAGAAGGTCAGTGGCATCCTCTGCCAAGATCCCTTCGGGCCTGAAAGAAGGGCCAGGAGGCAGGGTGGAGATTCAGATCTCACCTGCCAGAGGAGAAAATGGAGATTACTTCATTTGGAGCAGCTCAAGAAACTTGCATAAGGGAGGCTGAATATTATTCATCACAGAATTCCTGTTTAAAAAAAAAAAAAAAAAAAGGAGAAAATACAGAACCTGAAGTTCAGTTGCAAGAATCCTAAAGAGATCAGTTAATTGCCATTTCCTCTATGACTGGAAAACATCAAATAGACTACTTGTAGTGAGGTGTAGTGAGGAAGATAGGAGGAAACTGAGGAAAGTCCTGATGCTCTTCTCTGACCCCATCCTACAGGTGAGGAATTATCTAGAAGAATAATTGGAGAAGTTCTGGAATGTACAGCAGTTGAGGCAAACTGCACTGGGGGAGTCCCAGAGAAAGATGATGCTAGAACAATACAGGAAGCAAAAGAATAAATCCCTCTGGATTTAAGGAGAGCATTTGATTTTAAAACATATAGGCAGTATTTGTTAAGCAAGAGATTAAATTTAGTGTAGAAGGAGCTGGAAAGCTACAGAGAACAGTGAGTTATTTTAAAAGGGCCTTTGAATGTCATTAGTGGAGTTAAATGAAAAGCTGTTCTTGGCCCTGATCTCACTTTCATAAATTCATTTTGGTAATACACAAATACTATAATAAACTTCATTGATTACAAATTTGGGAAACATCAGCAGTAAGGGCTGATCAGGCTTACGTGACTGGGTGATCTTAAAAGTAAGATCCTTAAAAATAAGGTTTTGGATGCAGTTTAATGTCAGAATATGCAAAGTCCTGCATCTAAGGAACTAATGATATTTTTCTGCTATAAACTAGGATAGTTAGAAAATTATGTAAGAAGGAAACCTATATTCATTAATCAAGCACAGAATGACAGTGAGACAACAACAGAGCAATGAAAGGGGAAAAAATAGTTGTCAACTCTCTTGGATAAGAAATACCTAGGAGAGAGAGGGGTTTTTAATGCCGTTATACTAGACCCCCACATAACTTCTGCTGAAATCCTGAGTTAGAGTTCTGGTCAGCCAAATTTGATGTGATGGGCTCCTACAAGAAAAAGTAGAAAGAGGGCAGAGAGGACATGGGCAGCTTCTCCACCATTGGGACTGATACCTCAGGCAAAGCAAGGAATGAGAGAAGGATGGAATTGCTGCCTGGGAAGGAAGTGAAAGGACAAGCATGAGAGGGGAAGAGGATGAGCACAGGCTATTTCAGATATAAGGGTAATGTTGGCACAAATAAATAAATAAAAATTATTCATTGATATACCTTGATTGGCAGTTAGATGGAGATTATCTAAGCAAATTAAAGTTGGGGTATAGAAATTCTTCCGTTGGTTGTAATGTTGTAGTTGCTTACCTTATGGAAGAGATTGACTAAAATGTTAGCCTGAAAAAGTGGACTGTTCTTGATGAGCAAAGATGCACATCTGGGAAACAAGTGCACAAGGTGATTGGCTATCTAAGTCTGATCATGTCTGAGGTAGATAATTAGGCGCTGAGAAAAAGGAATTGAGCACTATGGTATTTTAAGCAACTGCCAATTGCATCATTTTAAACTTCATGTTTCTTTATGAAACTACTGTGTGTACCTGTTCAATTTAACTACAGAGGAGCTACTGACGAGCTCTTTCAGCACCTAGCATTTCCCTTCCATGTCTTATTCAAATACCTGAGGAAGTTGCTGTGCTGACCCTGGGTTTGAGCTGCCATCCTTGTGGGATGCTGAACAGAGGCAGTGCTGCCTCACTGCTTATCCAGTTCTCTCCTGTTCTTTCTGTCTGGAGCTCTGTGGTCATTCACTCCTTCTTATTTGAACAGGGTTATGATGAAGAACTACTGGTACCATCTGAAGTTGCAAAATTGTTCTTGACACCTTTCAGAGAGGTTTTTATATTTTATGGAGCTCAGTGGATGTTTGCTGTGCTTGTCTGTGTGGATTTTCTTGGAGCTATCAGCAGCTTGGCAGCCCACAGAGCATCACTGTCATACACAGAGGGATCTGGTGGTCTCACCTTCCTTTTCCTGGAAAGGCTGTAGGGGATTGCTTCAGCCCTTGTTTACTTGTAAGATTGTCTTTAATGGGGACTATCAGGTTGTAGTTTGTCATCACTCCTGTCTGCCTGGTGGTGCAAGGAAGCACTCTCTTCCTGGACCAGTGAGACAATTTCAGCAGCCCCAAACAAAAACACTGCTTAAATGATTGTATTGTGTTATTGTCATGTACCATCAACTGAAAGGCAGAAGTGAAAACTCATTTTAGCAAAATCTTTGTAAGTTTAAACCAAGGAGAGGTTTTTTTTGTGGTGACAGCTTGAATTTCAAGGGTCAAAGTGACCCTTTGTTCATGCTGGCTACTCGCGCTCCTGCTAGGCAGGGTGGCTACACAACTATGAATTTCATTATTCTGAAAATTAAATGGGGTTAAAAAAGAGGCAGGGAAGAATTCATGTAAATTCATAACCCAGTGAGAAAACCAAAGGAAAGGCAAAAGATGAAAAATGCTCAACAGTCTAAGCTCAGGTTATTGCTCTTGTGCCCCAGGGCAGCACTGCATATTACAGCCTGGATGGGAAGAAGATAGGAGTTCAATGAGCTCAAATACTTGCTTCAGTTTAGTATTTCAAGAGCTGCTTTTTGAATCCAAAGGATGATTTACAGATCCTTGTTCCTAATAGGAAAAACTGTTTTAATTGGGATGAGCCTAAACATTTTTCTGATAAATGAGAAATGGCCAACACTTACTGTTAATTGTTTCCATTCAAGAAGCCTTGCTATCCAAACTAAAATTGTGTAAAACAACTGCCATGAGTTTAAGTATGGCCTTGTTTATCACTGTGGAACAGGTGATCATCTGGTTTTGCTTCTTGCTGGCATTATTTTAAAAGTTATTTGTATGCGACGTTTGATTTTGTCTGTTTTTTAAACAGTTTTTCTTAAAAGTTTTTCTTAAAAGTTTTCTGTGGATTCTTTTGAGAACAATCATCTTTCTCTAAACAAGGTCCAGGAACAGTGGTATATATATATATATATAGCTCTGTCCCTTCCTTACTAGCTTATCCATGATTATCCCTTTCACAAGGGTAACATGCTTGTCACCATGGAGTATTTTTGTGCCTTGGAAAATCTCACATATTTACCATTTCAAGGAATGAAAGATCCTTTGGAAGAGGAATGGTTCTTCTTGCTGGAATAATACTTTCTTTTCACACAGGCCACTCCTCCGGTGAACATTCCAGGGTCAGCAAAATTCACTCCCAATGGCAGTAGCTTTAGCATCTCTTGGCAGTCGCCTCCAGTTACCTTCACCGGCATTCCAGTAAGTGCACATCAAAAAAGGAAAGAAGGGGAGAAAAAAAATTTTTTTTTAGATCTTTTTGCTTTGTTTCACAGTGTGTAATTATGGAAGTAAATGTGACATAGCATATACCAAAAGGAAACAAATTAAACATGTGCCTGAGTTTGCCAGCGTGGCTGTTTTTAACACTTTTGTAACTGTCTTTATCAGTGCAGTTAGGTTCTTTTTGCATCAGTGTCTACAAGCAGACAATTGAATATATAGTATCTATAGTATCTACATTTTTTAAACTATATCCTTACAAAAGACCATTGTGGCAAGTGCAGAGCTTGGCACTTTGTGCTTCTTTTTTGTGCCACTAAGAGATTTCTTAAAAAAATAGATGGAAAATCAGCCTGGTGATTGTTATGCTAACAGGCCAGTTGGATTCAGGCAGTGGGGCTGTTACCTAAATGAACTCTGAAGATGAAGCATTTTTAAAAGGCAACTGAAAGAAACAATAAAATGAAATGCAAAGTTCCGTTTTAGGAGGCTACAAGTATGTAGCCCCTACTAATAGCAGGAAAATGTTGTTTTATATAGAAAATATGTTCAGTGTCTATTGCATTTTGTTATTAATACATTTTGCACTTTGATAGCTTTTTAATGAGGATGCATTCAATGGAAATTCAACACTGACCTTTCTTCAAAAAGCTGGCATACAAGGCCTAATTCTATCAATGCTAAAATTCTAAGCCATCAAGACTGCAGAAATGTGATATTTGCTTAAACACAGAATTGCAATGATTCTAAACATGTAGTACACCACAGTGTAGGTGTGGTACTGTGGGGGAAGTGCAAAACCTTCATGAAGAGTTGCAAGGGATTCAGCTTGTAGTGTCTGATGTGGGGACTGCTGAAAGTAAATGCAAATCACTGTTTATGAGTAATGGGAAATCTTCTCTATTATGAATATAAATATGTATGTAAATATAATGTATAAATTAATATAAGTAAATATTAATATAAAGCATCCTCATTTTATTGGAAAGCACTCTTTTCATTATAAATTGATATTCTCTAATCATAAACCTTTTTTGATATCATAACATCTCATTTAATATTACACTTTATGAATTCATGAATTTTTAAGGTGTGTTATATAAGGCACATTGCTCATTCAAAGAGCCATATAACTTTTTTTCTCCTGACAGTGAATATTAGACAAGGCAATAAGAGATACTGTTTCCCTCCCTTCTCCTCACCAAGTGAATCTCCAAAGCTTCTTACTGTCAACCTTTGGCAAATCTTGGAGATTTTCTGCAAAGGCTGTGGCATCCAGCAGAGCTGATAAAAATGAAAGTGACTGAATCAATTACACTGCACTCTGCCAATGAATATTTATTAAATTCCATCAAGGAACAACTAACAGTGAAAGACATCATGCTGGCAGCAATTTCAACAAGAGTGCCTTGACAGAGTGTGCTATCCGCAGAGTTCCCTGAGAATTTGATTTCCCAACAATGGGGTTGATATGGAGTAATTATGAAACTGGCTCCTTTTGTGAAGTAGAAGAAACTGGTGCCAGGAGTGTTGGGAATCTAAAAATGCAATTAGTCACATTGTAAATCAGACACTTAAGAGGGCAGGATTAGACACGTATGTGTCGAGTTTACTTGTTCAGAAAACAACGCTGATCTGTGGCTGTAGAGTGGAGAGTTCTCAATAGAATTTAAGAAATGCTAAATCACTTTCTGAGAATTCGATGGAGATGGCAATGATTTAAGTACAATTTGAAAGTAATCCCAATACAAAAACCTGGGGAAGCAGTGATGCAGAATTATAAACTGCTCAGGGAACCATTTGAATTGCCATTATAGCTCTAACAACATTTATAAGACTGTTTAACAAAGAAAAGAATAATAATAAGAAAAAATATTCCAGGTTTGCACACATTTGACTACTTTGTCATCAGTGTGATCATTTATGAATTACAAAGTTTTGCCTGCAGTGAAAAATTATCTGCAGTAAGTAAGAGTGCAAATGCAAATTTGTGTTAAATACCTGTATATTAAATTAAAGTTTTATTTCTGCTTCAAAGTAAATTAGATATTGCTTTACAAAATCAGGGGTTGGCAATTCCGACCCTTACACTGAGTGTAGGTACTTCACCTACATTCAGACTTCCTTCTTCTCTGATGGAATTTATTTATGGCCAGACTGTGTGACAGAGCCAGTATAACTCATAACTCATAAACTCACACAATTGTCCCTGAGATGAGACACAAATTTGTAGCACCCAAGAGAACCTCAGAGAGTAAGTCCAATCCATTACTTTTTGCCTGACCCTTAATACTTAAGCAAGGAATTTTCTAAAATGGCTTTGGAATACTTTTCTGGCCTGGACAAATCACTGAACAGGAAAAGATTAAGTACAAATTTGAAAATGTGCATAGGTCTACATATTTTCAGTATAGTTTCCTTTCATGTTTATTTTTTGACACATACTGTTTCCCCCTTTCACTCCTGTGGACATTGAATCTCGATGACATTGAGCACTTCCTGCTTTCTGTCCTGGGAACTGGGGTGTTCAAACACCAGGAGTTGCATTAAGTCATTATTTTCAGAAAGTCTTTAGCAGAGCGGCGCTGAAAGGCCTTTGTGAATATGGGTGTATTTACCAGCAAGTAACTGAGCACTTCAAAACAACCTATTCATGCTGCTGGATCAGTTGGGCTCAGTATGTGGCTGCTCTAGGCTCAAGAGTATTCACAACATCTAAACACAGGCATTTATTTAGATGTCTTGGGAGGAGAAGTGGCCACTTGGTCTGTTCATCCTGGAGGAGACTGAGGGGGAGACCTCATTGCAATCTACAACTTCCTTGTGAGGGGAAGAGGAGGGGCAGGTACTGATCTCTACTTTGTGGAGACCAGGGACAGGACCCAAGGAAATGGCCTGAAGTTGTGTCAGAGGAGGTTTAGGTTGGATATTAGGAAAAGATTCTTTCCCTAGAGAGTGTCTGGGCACTGGAACAGGCTCCCCAGGGAAGTGGTCACAGCACCAGCTGGCAGAGTTCAAGAAGTGTTTGGACAGGGCTGACAGGCACATGGTGTGACTCTAGGGGATGTTCTGTGCAGGGCCAGGAGTTGGACTCGATGATCCTTGTGGGTCCCTTCTAACTCAGGTTATTCTGTGGTTCTGTAATTAGGGAAACCTCCAAAGCCATTTGTGCTCTGAATCACGCATAGGTTAGATTCCAAGGCACGTAAGAATACACTCTTTCATACAATTTTTCTAAGATAACTTTGCAGGTGAAAGGTTGAATGTTGGAACAGTTATGAGCCATTGTGAGATGTTCTTTGCATGAAGCAGAAAGGACAGGCTGATTGTTCTACCAGTTGAGGCTGAATTAGGAGAATAAAGCAGCCACACCCTAGGGGTGCATGAGGAGAGCGAGTTAAATGATGCAAATGGGATGAGCCATGGTGAAGTCCATATGTCTTGGTACTGGAGGACTTAATTATGACAGTGTACTTCCACTTCTATGTAATTTATGGTAAAAGTCTTCCTGAATGTCAGTATGATCTCCACTGTCTGATACTTACTTATATCTGCCTGCTATAAGACTCAAATAATTGAACAGGCAAGATCTTTGATAATCTGGTGTTTACAGATGGCAAATCTTCTCTCAAACCACAGTTCCCCCCCAGGAGTTGTAACTGGAAACTCCAGGTCCTTGTTTCAGTGTTATTTCACTCTGCATTAGACAGCGCTTCAGACATGAAAAGCCTCCAAGGGCAAGGATTGCCTTCTCAGGGCTTGCTCTTAATCTGCTCTTACTGTTCCCTATAGAGAGCAGCTGACTGGTATTGTTTAGACCTGCTACAAAGCCTATCAAAATACACTAAAGCTCAGCTTCAGTGCAGTGTAGCTGCCTTGGTGTGCCAGTCTGTGGAACCATCCTGCGGAGACCCTCCCAGGAGAATGAGAGGGAGGAGTCTGCATGCTGCAGTTAATGCTCCAGCCTGATCTCTGTTTGGAAGTAAGCAAGATAATTGCTTATAACATAGGGGGCCATCCAAGTACTCGTCTGTTCAATGACAAGCAGCTGATATATTGAGTGTCACTTACTAGTGGTAGACATAGAATAATTTCTGGTTTTTAAAATGTTTCTGAACCCTATCACAATGACTGGAGATCTCTGGTTACTGGTAATGACTGGAAGACAGTACAGTGTCTGGTGAATGCCAAATACTACAAAAGTGCTATTGCTTTGCATTTTATCTCCAGTGTTTCAATCATTCCTAGGTAAAACAAGGAAAGTGGTTGATAAAAATTTGGGAAAATGTAGCAGAGAACAAGCTGCCCTTAGTATTCTGGAGCGATAGAATCAAAGGAGCTAATGTGGTCTTTGGATGTACAAAACATGGTAGGCTGGCAGAGAGATAAGAAATTTCTTCCCAGTTTTGCAATTATATTTTGTATATCAGTAATGGTCTAAGTTTGTTCAGCATGTGAGCCACATACGCAGTTAAATCAAAAATTTTTCTTGCTACTAGCCAAGAGTAAAATTTGAAAGAGTGTCTGCACACAATTACATGCATTAGTTTTTTGCTACTATGGAGTAGCTTTAAAATAGACTTTGTATCAAAAATCAAAGCACATACAGTAATTCTCTTCAATTGAGGTCAGTCAGTTCCCTCTCTTCCAGATAAAACTTGAAAAGGGCAGGAGGGAAAAGTCATAACAGTGCAGAGAACTATGACCATATCTGCAGTTCCTGGCAGCAGGAGGCTGACTGTGAGCTAGATGCTACATTCAATGTACAACAAAAAAAGGAGTGTTCAGAATATTTTCCTGGTATTTTAGATGTAAAGTGGTTGTGGCCTTCACACAGGAGCAAAATAAGACCACAGTAAAATAATTTCGGTATTATTTAAGGCCAAGCTTTATGCCATGTGATCCCTTGAATGATGTTGCCAAGCCCCATGTTCATGCAGAACACTTCTTTGGAAAGTCTTAGAAGACCAAACAACACCCTTCCCTTGGAAACATTCACAAAGAAGACACCTGCTGAGAATGTTTACTGTGTGGAGTAAGGAGATACATCGTGTTAGCAGCTTTGGTCAGAAGGGCTGCATTGTGCTCCCTGCCTGTTAAACCTGGAGGGGCCCCACTGTGAGTGCTCTTCAAAACAAACCCTCTTCTCCAAGGGTGTCTCTCCAAAGAGTGCCAAGTGACAGACAGGAGCAACAAGTGAAATCCCTTTATTTCATAGGAGATTATTGGTATTGATCTCAGCACAGGACAGAGTTTATTTTTCCAGTTACTTTCTTTGCTTAAATAGGAGAAGGTTTTCATAAGAGCTATTCAGAGTTTTTAAATGTGAATGAATGTGTTTCTTGTTGTTTCCAAAACCTGCAGTGATGCTCATCTGTATTTTGGATTGTTCTAGGAGGATGACCGGAAATACAGGAAAACAAAGAAGCTAATGTAATATACCTTATGCTAAATAAACTTTCATTTAATTACATTTGTATGTTATATAGTCACCTTTCCTGGGTATCCTTGCCACCGTGCAGCATAATTTGCATTTTCTTGGAAGAAGTATTTATACTGCATTCACATGTGTATGTTCATTGTAAGCAGCTTTTTTGTCTGTATTGACAGGTCTCACCAACCCATAATCGTCCTGCAGGGAGTGGAGAGCAGAAACAGTCCCACACAGTTCTTTCATCACCGCCTAGAGTAGCATTTGGCTTGAGGTATGGGACCATTAGCTCCTGCTGACACTACAGCCTTACAACCAGGAGGGTATTTAGTGGTTAAGTTGTCAGTGGCCAGAGAATCAGAAAAAGCCCACTGCCAACCTTGATTGCATTTGTCAGGCAGTCTTGCTAGAGCTCTTCAAAGTAAATGTTCAGAACCTATTTTTCTTTTCACTACCATCAAAGGTAAAGTTCAGCTGCACTGTCTGGCTCTGCACTTTTCCCTGAAAGGCTGGACTGTCTTATGTGTTTATCACCATTCAGTCAAAATGGCATTTGGCTTCAATTGAACTATACGAAAGGCTGTCTTAAAATAAATTAGATTAAGGCAGAGCTTTTTATGCCTTGTCTTCCTAGGCATAAGCTGCATTCATTACCACTAAATTTAACTGATATTTGACCAGAATCTAGTTTAAAGTGTTCAAAAAGTTAGGTTAAAAAATCAGACTGTAATGCTACATTTCTTACAGTAAAGAAACTCATTATTTCCCATAGTCCTAAAGGTGACTGTACCCTAAAATGAGGCAAAAAGAAGATTTCATTCTTTTCACTTTCTTCATGACTCTCATATCATTGCATATGCTATGAACCAAACTTGGGATCTTCCCAATTTATGGATTGTGCCCATTCATTAATGTTCAGTAACCAGAAAATATGTGGGTATGCAAGAAAGGAATCCCATGTGTGCCATGCAACATGTAAATACCATGTAAAACAGGTATTAAACAGTTCTGTTGGTACAGATAGCATTGCAATAGTTAATGTTGGATTGCTTGGTGAACCACTGCTCCTCAGATTTGCTGCCTTGCTGTGTGTTGAATATAAAAAAATCCATTTTAACAGTTACTTGAATAATTTTCTAAACTTGTGATCTTTCAAGTGTGGTTGTAAGATAGAAAACAGTACAATTATTACAGCTTTAAAAGCAGCTGCTGCCCACCTTGCTGACTTTGGGGACCACAGAGAAGGTGCTGTGAGTGAGAGCGATGGTTAAAACTTCCAACTCACCCAGCAAGGTTAGGAGCTGGTAGCTTTTCTCCGCTTTGGCATAGCTGATACAAGTTCATGGTCAAGGTCTGCTGCTCTGACCTATTCCAGATATTTTACCACAGCTCTGCAGCACTTCAGCCTGACATGGCCTAGCCTGTATTGTGGAGCAGCTATGACTGCCCATTACAGCTTGGTACTTCATGTGGCTAAAGTATAATTTACTAAGTCCAAGTTTAGTTGCTGGCTCAAGTCAGGGCTGTGTGTTCCTGGGATCATCCTAGGAGCAGAGGAGCAGACTCAGCAGCTGCTGCAGAAGCTGAGAAGCTGTGGAAGCCAGGTGAGGAGAAGGCCTGGTCCCTGAGAGTGATGCAGTCATGGCCATACATGTGTCTGTCACTTCCTCAGCTCCCCACTGGAAAGAAAACAGCCCAAATCCCATGAAAGGCCAAGGGCTCTTTGCCTCCTGCACACAATTGAGTTTGTTGTCCTGGTGTTAGGGTGAAAAGCTAAACTACTAAAGTATCTCATTAATGAGCCTCCCTTTCTCTCTGACAGGAAGCCTAGAGGGGAGGGGAAAAAGTGTCGGAAGGTCTATGGGATGGAGAACAGAGACATGTGGTGCACTGCCTGCCGATGGAAGAAGGCCTGCCAAAGGTTCATCGACTAACGATTGAAATTATGCAGAGGATTTGGGGAGGGGGAGGACAACAGCAGAAGCAGATTGCTGCAGCTGCACTGTATCACTTCCCATTTTCCCCTCCAGTGATGTGGTTTTGGGAGTTTTGGTTTTTTGGGGTGTTTTTTCTTTGGGTTTTTGGTTTTTTTTTTTAAGAGCTTTGTATTTCAAAATGAAGCACTTGTAGCCAAGGAGAAGCACTAATTAAAACCTGTGTGGAGCAATAGAGCAAAAAAAAAAAAAAAAGCAAAACCAAGACCACACAACAAAATCTGTCTCAGTAAGTGTGGAAAACAGAGCAGCTATTAGTGTTCTTCTGTAAAAGAAAGGAAAGTGTTAATTATTTTGCTAACTCTGTGAGCTGCTTGCTCCCTAGGATCATTTTTAACCATTTCAGTCTTTCTGCTGTGAACATCTGTATTTGCTAAACTGAACAATTTTTCTTTTCCTGAAATGAAGATCTCTTTTTGAAAGCTTTCTAATAAACACTTCAGAGTCGTATAAGCTACAGTTTTCTCAACAAAAGCTGTACTAAGACTGGAGACTGCTAAATAATTCTCCTGATACAAATGATCATGATTATATTTTTGAAAAGGGCATGTGGGAAAGCATTGGGATTTTCATTTGATTGTTTATAGGAGAAAAGCAAAGCTGATTTTGCAAGAAGGACAAGCAGCACTCCTGGAAGTTTTTTAAAAGAGGCACAGACCAATGGAGTGGAACAAAGTAATTTGAGTACCAAATTGGATTTTGATCCTCTAGAGGAAGAAAAGCAGCAATGGCAACTCACCAGCAGATACTGTCACGAGAAGTCTGAGGGAAGAGATACAGTGATGCTTGATTGAAACCCACAAGGATATAAGGGGGCTCCAGTAGCTTTTCTTATTACTCTCCCCTTTCTGAGGGGGGATGAACAGTTGGACCAGCACAGCTGTTGCTGCAGGAGGCCTGTGAAGAACTGGTAAATGCAGCCACTAGGATTATCTGTAATATCTAATTCAGGGAAATGATCCAGCCCAGCAGTTCTGCTTTTGCTTCCTTTTCTCTTATTTCAGAGATTGTTGTTAAGATAATGGTTCGTTCAGTTTTTCTTTTAAAGTTAATAAGATTTATTTGATACAAAAAATTGGTAGAGAAAAGAAAATACTCTCTTTACACAACATCATCTCAGAAAAAGTACAACAGCAAAGGAGCAACATATTTGTGGTAAAAGACCATTTCTTAACTCATTTTGATACATGAATTAATGAGTTTCTCTGTTTGCAGTACTTGGATTGTTTTGGGTATTTCAGTTTCTCTGTCCATTAGGAAGTATACACTGGAATGTGGCAGCCTGGAATTCTGTGTCCACTTGTATCAAATTACTGTTAATTAATGATTATTTCAATGCAAAAATAAAGGAAGGATTTACTAGGAAATGAATGTATATGGCGAAATAATACTTGCCTGTTAAAGAAAATGAGACACCTTAAAAAAATCAAAGGCACAGAAGCAAAACTTTGTCTATTAATAGAGACTGAAGGGCCACAAATGCCTGTGTTATTTTTTTCAGAACATTTGAACCAATTGAAATTAGACCAAATCTTTTTCTATTTTTCTTTTAATTGTTTAAGCTGGCTAATTCTCATAAGAGGACTTTTAAGTATCTAAACAGCTTTCTAAAATCTGGTCCAAAGTTCACTTGATAGCTTTATTAAGTGTGCAGCACTGCTTGTGTCTGTGTAAAAGCACAAAACAACAATGCAGTTGTTTGGATACACTGTGGATTCCATAGCTTAGCAGTGAAAAGGAGAATCCATAATAGGAGCTACTGAAGGTTATCATCTGATTTTCTGTGAGCAAGTTAATTGGGCAATCAGGTGCCTAATTTGAACATGCTATTTCTGCAGTTATTTACAAATTGTGTAATTTAGATGCACAAGTGGCAAGATACGCTTGCATGAATGCAGTTACTTAGTTACTTGATTTTTTGCCCAATTGTGTTCTCTAAGTCACAAAAAAAAAAAAGACTCTGAAATCCATTAAGACCGTGAGATATATATACACATATGAGCGTGTATGAGTATTTTTGTATTTGTGTGTGTATATACATGTAAAACTATATATATTATATAGTTTTATATGTGTATATAAAATCTGAAATTAACAGGGAAGAGAAAGATTGTTTTCTTTACAAATAGAAAAAAAAGACACTAAGGGTTAGTGGATATACTGATCTGTATTATCTTCTTTCCTCTTAGTAAAACATGGATTTTCTTTACAAGTTGTATTTTTTCAATTTCCACTGTTAAATACCTCATAGTAATTCACAGACATTTCATCTTCAAACACTGGGTTTGCTGATTGTGTACTTAGATAAAACTTTAAAAATTTGGGATTTTCCCAAGATATTCCTACCAATTTGTTCCCTGCATTTTAAAAGCTCTTCAAGACTATAAAGCATTCCATAATTCAACTGTTGTTGGACTAACAGTTTTTGCCTATATATTTGTTGTTCACCTCCTTTTTGCTTTGGAGGATTTTTTTTTAAAATAATGTATCAGATTGTATATTGTTTCTATAATGTCATGGCATTGTGAGCAATTTTCCCAAGGGCACTTTATGAATTATTATAATAAGATTATTCTTTTAAAACTTCTGCACAGAAGAATGGTTTTGTTGCCAGACCAGATTGCCCTCTGGTACAAATTGAATATGGATTACATAAAGGACTAAAGCCACAAACCATCAAAACTGGAGAGAAAGTTGGTGTTAACGAGTCAGAAGGTATTGCTAAATCCTGCCAGGACAAAGCTAAATTACCAGTATTTTTACTCAACCTTTAATCAGTGTTTTATATTAAATCAGCTTTGGATCTTACAGCTATGGTATTTAATTCATAGTAGGCACTTGTGGAGGTCCGTGTCTGAAGCAAGGCCAGCGATAGCGCGACAGCCCGGAGCGTTCTGCAGTCACTCTGTGCTGTGAGCTCCGATTAACTCTTGTTGCACGAGCAGTTCAGCACCTGCCAAGATCCCCTCTGTGACCCCTCACACAGCCAGCAGGAGCAGGAGCGCCAGCTAAACCTTCCTTCTGCTGGCAGTACCGATCGTAATCTGGAGCAATCGCTTCCATTTTTCAGTCTCTTGCTTCTGCGTTGCTTTGGGTGGTGTTGTCCTCCTGACACCTCATTTATCTGACACTTCTGCACTGACCAGTCCAAAATAGTCAAATTTCTTTGTTCTCCTGAGGTGGAGCTAGCCTGAGTGCTGTGGCATTTATTGTCATCACTACCTGCCAGTTCCAGGTTTTGGTTTCTCTGTGGGAGGTAGGTCATTGTGTCAGACCCCCCCCTGAGAAGTCAGAAGGAATGTCTTGAACACATCATGCAGTGTCTGTGTGCTACAGGGAATTGGATGGGGGTTCATCTATGTCAAGAACCAGAACTTGATATAAAAATGTAAGGATCTGTTTTATTGTCAATAGTATTGACGCTGGTAACAGAAATTGCTAGCATCAGAATCAGAGTGGAGATCAACCATACTCATGCCAAATATTTTTCTTTAGGAGTTTCCTTGTTAAAACAAAGCTATTTCCCAATTCCCCATTCACCCCATCCCCCAAAAGATCTGGAAAACGAGATAATTTTATAAGTGGGAAATTTTAATTGCAATTTTTAATATTGATTGTGCTCCAGCTGCTCCTGTATGAAGCTATTGAACATTAAAACTCAGATCATCTTAGTTCATAAAAGAGTTTCCACACAAAACAATGTGCCTGATTCTCTAGTGCCTTGCACAAACGCAACAGGATATACAAGATGCAAAGTGAGTAAAACTTCTTCTATTCCAATTTGCAAGTTTACACTTTTAACCAATACCAGTCATCACCTAACAGATACCTGTTGGCAGGTCAGCCCTGCTTGTGTGAGTAAGCTGAGCAGAATGCCTGTCTGTCAGATAACTTTTCCCAAATCCTTAGCTTGGTATGAATGTTAGCTATCTAATTATCTACAAGTTCCTTGCAGCCATTGGCTATCTTTATTGCTTCTCCCTTTCGTTTTTCACAATAATGACTAGATAGGCAGCACAACAGGAGGTAAAGCTTTAGCCAAAAGCTCTTGTAGAACTTGCACGATTGATTCCAGCACCATGCTATGTCCCAGATGTTCTTGGCACTAATTTCATTTTGTCATTCATTCTGATCCAGTACATTGGGATGGTTCTCTATTGCTTGCTGTGGCCTGGGACCAGCTAAAATGGCCCTGTTGAGAATCCAGGACAATCGCTCGAAGTGTCGCACTTCAAAGTGATTTCTTTCTTGTGCTGCCTGTAAATGTGTTGGAACATGATCTTGGAAGCAGGACATGGAATTAGAGGCTTGCTAGCCATTTGCAGAGATGTTGGAGGTTGCCAGTGAGGCTTCCTTCTCTTGGTTCAAAGTCATAGGCATCTGCTGAAGAAAGTTGTGCTGCGCCTTTTCTTAGAAATATTTTGATACGGAAACATTTGTAAAGCCTCATCTTGATCTTATATTTATATTTTATTCAATCTTCCTGTTAGGTGGTAGCACTGGAACTGAGAGCAGTATGGAGTTTGGGCTTTAATCTGCATTTGTCAGGCTTTTCTAGTACATAACAAGGCAGGTATAAGGTATCATAGTGTAGATTTTATTCTAATACAAGTTCAGCAGAGATTTATGGCACCTTTGTAAAATACCCAGATGGAAGTAATGGACAGGAATTAAGCTGAGCATTTTAATACACTCTCTGTATTCTAGATGGGAGCAGCCTTTCTTTGCATCCATATGGAGCTGGAAAATCTTGACAGCCAGTGTACACCTTGAGAGTGCCCACTTGAACTGCTCTTTCCATCTCGGGCTACAGTGCTTTCACATTGACCCTGCTCTCAGTTCTACCCAAATGTGGGATTTAAGGAGGTGTGTGTCTCCACTTGCAACTTTTTGAGCTTATTCCTCAATACAGAAAGCACTCATCATGTTCTTTGTGCTTCACACAGACCATGTGTAACAGCAATGCAGAAGGACTCTGGGAACAGGGAAATCAGCCTGTTTCAGGTGGCACCAGCCAGAAGAAAGTACAGGCTGCTCTGGTGTTTGCTCAGCTTCACAGCAAGAATTTGTTCAGCTGATTACATAGAATAGATAAATTTAGTAACAAGCTGGTGTTTTGCTGGTTTTTGACGCATCTTAACACCTAGAATTTTCTCCTTCTGAATTTGAATCTGAATGTGAGATCTCTCATACACCCTTGAGGGAAATTAATTTAGCAATATAAATGCTCTTTCAGCATTAAATCTGGATTCTTTATGTAACTAAAATCTAAAGATGCGCTTGAACTTTATAAATGTTTGAGTGTTGGTATTTACTGCTTGCTAATCCTCTTAAAGATTCAGGTTTGATTCTGGAGTCCTTAACATAATATTTGATACCCAGCATCAATTAATGATGATATTTAATGGCAATGGCCAGATAAACAAAAGTTACTAAAATGTTGGTAAAAAGCAGTTTCTGGAAGATATGGAAAAAGAAAACAGTTGAAACAGATTTCCTCAGGGAACATGAGAGGGCTGTGAAAGCAGAATGCAAGTTTGTTTGAATGGAAGATGTCTAAGAAAATGATTTTTTTTTCTATTTTTAGGCAAAATGAAAAGAGCAATATGTCACTACTTGAATTATTAAAATTAGAACAAAGCACTAATTGATGAACATGATCTTACTTAATGCTGTAGCTTAGGAATTTCCAAATACAAAGAAAAAGTTACATAAAAATACAGAAAATTAGCTTAAATCATAACCTAATTATAATGTAAATTTATACATTTGTGTAAATCTTTTCAGGTTCTAGTGTAAATATAAGGGCTTCTTGTCTACAAAGTTGCTTGGTCAAAACATGCTTTGTCTATAATTGAATTACTTTTAACCAAATTATTTCAGCAAGCAAAAAAGCAGTATGTCAGCATGATATCCTGGGGAGTTGTGTACTGCACTTTGCAAAGGGCTAGTTCTGCATGAAATTAAAAGAAAACATGTCATCACATATTTTCTGTCATGTCTGCAAAGGCATCAGCTTCAGTAAACCCAAGGTTTTTAATTGGGCTGTCTAGGATTTTGAAATTCCACAAGTTTTGCAAATTCTCAATTTTGTTTTATTTTAACACAGAAAAATTCTATTTGATCCATAATAATATTTTCCTATCAATTATTTTTCCTGTGTCCAGGCACTCTGTCTTGCAACTTCCCAAATGTGTACAGTGAAGTGAATAAAAATCAGCATCTTCAGTATTAGGAGCTACAAATGTAAATAGCATTTACAAGGTATCAGAATTTTTAGTATCAATGTTTAAATGTAGTAATTAATTCTTAAAGTGATGCCAACAATCTTTGAGGGAAGGGGAGCACATAGTCTGTAAATTAAGAAGTGCAACTGTACAGACATAGAACTGCTGGTATTGCAAGAATAATATGTAGGCTTAGGTTTATCAGAACACTCGAGTCTGTGTTTACCTCCACCTGTGGAGTTTGTTGATGAGACTCTTCATGTTCCTAAAGTTTGGCACACATTTTTGAGCTCTTCTGAAATCAGGTCTTGGCAAGAGCAGATACTCCTATAGCTTTGTCTGAAATATGCACTTTGTGGGACAATCTACCTTTTCCTGGATTTATGCAATTTATCTTGTGTTTAGAAGACCAGACAAATTTACAGAATTTTTTTTATTATGGCTTTTTGTATTGCATATGAGAAGGTGAAAAAGAGACAAGTTCAGCTGTACATTTCAGCACGTGAAAACACTGGCTAAGTTTGTAAAAGCTGTATATTTGACATCAAGCTCAAAGAAACATACTTGAGCTCACTGAAAAAAAAAATACATGATAAGCAAGTCACATTAAATAAATTTCTCACGTTCCATCTGTATTTCCTGTACACTCAACACTCCTCCAGGCAACAGGCGGCATGGGAGCTATGAGTATGCAAGGAAATAAATGAGTTTACCTAAAAACTTTGGGAATACTATGTTTTTAAGCCACAAATTATGTTGCCTATGTGTAATTTTTAGTGTTAGAAGAAAATAGACAGTAGCCTTATTAACCAGGTGCAATACTTAAAAAGGGCTAAATTAGGGAAACAAGTGATGTGTTTGTACATCACTGCAAGCATGCGCTCTCTGAAAATGAACTTTTATAGCACGGGGATCTTAATACCTCTCTGAAATTATAATGTTGGTATAATTTTATAACTGCTTATTATACATTATGAAACAGGATTGGGAATTCCTAAAAACCAAAAGGAGGAGGGAGAAATTGTAAATCACATAGACTAGTGGTATGTTGTTTTCCATGACAAAAGGATACTAAAACACTTTACAAAGCCATACAAATTCTGTATTATTGAAAGAAAAAAAAAAAAAAACAAACTACTCCCCTTGGTTTCAGAGGTAGTTTAGTCTAAAATTTCCTGTGATTTGTCTGTTGCATTTTCTCAAAGTTTTGGGGTTTTTTTGTATTCTGATGGTGAAAACATTCCTAAATTTACCAGTATTTGGCTTGAATGGTATCGTTTTAAAAAAAGCTTTTAAAATTGAGTTCTTCGTGATACTGTGCAGTCTGAATGAGATCATGCAACATGATCTGCTCCAGCTTAAGTAGAGAGAGTTCATATAAGCAGAAGATTACAGGAAAATACTGTATTGAGCATTCATTGTTCAGTCATGAGAAAGATCTGAACAATCAAACTAAAAGCTGCACTCACATGTTTCTTCTCTCCATCTGCACACTGCAGGGTTGATGGAATACAGGCTGCCACGTGTATTTGGCTATCTCACCCCTGTTTGCGGATTTTTTTTTTGCTGATAAATAATGAAACACATATCAGAGAGATCTTCCCATCTCTCTTACTGTTTTTGTCTTGTGCTCTGAGTCCAGAATTAACTGTAAGACAGAAATAATCAGGTCTGTTGAACAGAGACTAGTTTGATTCTTTCCCTGTTTGACAAACTTCTAACAAGGGCCAAAGTACAAATGCAGAGACATTTGTCAAAAAGGGCTTGAGCCAGTCAGACAAGACCTGAAAAAAATTGCTCGCAATTGGATCCCAGCAGGAGGAAACTAGTCTTAAGCAGTCAATTACAGAAGTTCTGTGGTTGATTTTTGGTGTTTTGGGGTCTTTTTTTTTGTGAATTCCAAGTCTGGTAAAATGCAGATCACATTGTAAGAAGCTGAGCCCTCAAAACAATACAGGTTTTCTCAGGAGAGTTCAGTTATTCCCATGAATAGCTTCATTGGCCAGGGCTGTTCACACAGGTAATGGTTGTAGAACAAGGGCACGTGGGTTTTCCTCTGTGTACTTCCCACTGGGATTGGGAGTGTGAAATTGTGAATCTCCCTTTCTGAGGGCTTGGGAATTGTGCATTCAGCTTTGTGAGAGGGATGGATACAGTGGATACCTCTGCACATGTGCAGGGCTCTTGGAAGAGTTTCTAGTAATACCAAAGTGGCAGTACTCTGGATGTGTTACCTAATGACAGATTTAAGAGCTGTTAGGCTGGAGGTATTCAGCCTGTAATCTGTTCTACTGATGCCAGCCCCAGGGAGAAGGAGGTTTCTCAGTATGGGATCCAGGACAGCCAGCCCAATTTGAAAGGGGTCCACACCACCATATCCCTGTGCTGTTGGCTCAAGTGCTGCCTTTGCTGTGTCCAGCTAGAGGGAGTTGGTTATCCATGTGCATTCATTACATGTTCATAGTACAGAACACTTTTTTGAAGAGGAAGATTCTCTTTTTCAGCTATTAAAATAAAACTGTGGGATAGTTTTGAAGTTCTAGATGAATGAGTCACAGCATTGTCAAACTTAGGATCAGGCATGGTGGTTTCCCTTCTTCCAGAGCCATGCTGCAGCTCCTGTGGCAGGTCTCACAGAGCCCTGGAACCTCAGCCAAGTTTTTCCCAAACATTTTCTGGGACCCAGCACTGAGCCCTAAACCAAGTTGGACCCCCAAATAAAGGAGGCTCTTTCCAGCTCTTTCCCAACTCTTAGGCTACCTAAGTTAGTGTTTAATTAGTAGGCCTTTGTAAATGGAACATTGCCCCATTGCTTGCCTCTGGCATTTCAAATCCACTGCTGCATTTGCAAGGAGCCAGACATTATCTTGCTCAGTCACGGAGTTTGGGAATATTATTTTAGATTTAGACTTCTGCATCCTGCATCAGGCTGCAGTTCTACAGCAGGTTAAGGTGACATAAGCTTGTGCTGCTATTGAAAAAGCTTTTCCTACCCTCAGCAGAGACATTTCTAGAGAGAAGTTTCCTGAGTTATGCTGGCTCGAGCCAGTCCTGTTAGTGTAGGTCTGTATAAAATGCTAGATAGCTTATGGCCTGCTGGGTCTGTGCCCCTGCTCTTCCATGGGGCAGGCGTGGTAATGCTGCCTTTATCCCACTCTGTCTTGTCTGAAGTCTCATTAAGGACCTCAGCTTGCACATACCCCTACAGCATTAAACTCAGGAGAGCTCCACCTATGGCTGGTGGCATTGATTTTGGTATGAAATTAAATATATGGGGGAAAAGAGAGGAATTAGATCGATATCTGTACATGCAATAAGTCTTAAGACTTAACTGTGCCATGATTTTGCTAATCAGATATTGGAGGAATTAAGGGATGTGAAAAACAACCTTAACTGCATCTTGTTCCTCCCTGGAGCCAGGGTGGAATTATTCACAAATAATAAATAATATTAGGCCCTGCAAGGTTCATTAAGGGGCTGGGAAGTCATGACCTCTGCAAATCTCCAGGCTGCAGAGCACCAAGGTATACTTCTTACCCAGACGTGGTAACAACTAGGAATGATCCTCAGCTGCTTTGCTGAGTGCAGAGTTTTAGCCTCTTTTTATTACAGCTTCAGTTTAGCAGCGATGAGAATGCTGGGCAAGAGGTAAAGGGGCATCAGGTAACTGAAGAAAGAACCATCAGCATCAGTTGCACCTGGGTTTTTTTAACTGTCTGAAAAAGCAAACATGTTTCTTGTCACTTGCTATTCATATTGTGTCATGTGTCTATTTCCATCATAGAAGGGGGTGAATTTAGCACAGGGTAAGCAGCTGTAGGAAACTAAACACCCAATTGCCTAGTTTTTATGAGTAGAGGATTTCTAAAACATTCTGCTTGCAGAAGACTGCAGTATTTATATCCACACATGCTTTTTTTCTTGCTTCAGTCACAAAAGAGAAATATCTGCCTGCATACATTGTTCTTCCTTTGTTTCTTATCAAATCTTTTTTCAGAGAGTACAAAGTTCAAGGTTTTTTTTTTAAAAAAACTTTTTTTCTGAATCATGATTTTTAGAACCAGAGCATTTCCTCTTTCACTTCAGTGTAAAATTACAGAGCTTTAATTTGCTATGCATCGCACTTTATATAATTTTTTTCACTTTTTGGGCCACGTATTTTTGATACACAGAACAGCAAAGGTTTTATTTATCTAGTTTTAACTTGAAATTAACCATGAAACTAAGATGTTTTTATACAAATGGAAGTTCCCTAAAGTACAGAAAATAATCTGTTTGGGTCAGAGACATTTTTAATGATACATTGAGAAATATTATAGCTTCTGAAATTATTTATCATTTGGTAAATTCAATACATTAATGGATATCATGGTTGGATATCATGGTTTAAAGTGGGATGTATATGAGGAGGAGACAAAAAGTTCTAGACAGTAGATTTCCTTATATGCAAAGCCTGCATTAGTTTAATTGATAAGGGTTTAAAAAAATAGCCTAATCTAGTTTGAATAAGTGCAAACCTGATTTATAGGCAAGTTTAAAATGCCAGGAGCTCATAGAAATGTGGAAATTATTTTAAGTAAAGCCCCCAGGAGCCGTTTCTCCCTGTGCTGTGCAGTGCTGTGCAGTGGGCAGCCTGCAAAGCCCCCGGGCTCTGCAGGCAGAGAACTCGTGCCGGTACAAGGCAGCAGCAGAAGCTGCAGGACAGTACAGATTTTCCTGCTTTAAACAGCTGTACTCCCAACTTGCATCATCTTCCCTTGGTTTTGGTGTTAAGCTTACAGCACTCACACTATTGCACATAGTTTGCCATAACTTGTAGATGCCAGTTTCAGCATTTTGAACAAAGAACAGCTACTTTGCCCCAGCACAGAATCCTTTTAATCTTATGGAGCATGCTGAAAAATAAAGAGCTTTTTGACTTTTACTTTGTCCAAATCTTTATTCCAAATCACACAAAGAAAAGTGGGGAAAATAAGGCACATGGCAGTGAAGAGGGGAGAGAGAGACAGCGATGCTCATTTCCTTCCCAGGGTGAATCATTCCTGGGCTCCCCTCTCCCAGGCTGAGCATGTGTGTGCATGGACCATGCACAGCTTGGAAGTTATGTAAAATCCATCCTTGCAAAAGCTCTTAGTTGGCCACTTCCCAGAGACCCCAGTTCCTTTTCAGAGGGTTCCAAACATTCTGCTCATTTCTACATCCATAGGTAAAAGCTACCTGCTGCTCCAATAGCCTGGGTGTAGTTTCCCATTGGACTGCAAATGTGTCACCTTGCCAGTTTTAATCAAGCTGCAGTTCTTCCTGCAAAAGATGGGCATGATCCAGGTATTTGTGCATGTTGCAAAGCTGTTGTGTCCTTCCAGGAACCGCCAGGAGTTCCTGGAGAGAGGCAAGCACACTGCCAGTGGTGTGCAAGCCTTGTGCTTAACACCAGTGGTACCTGTGCTGAAGAGAAGTGCGGACTGATGTCACCTGTCCATCCCACCACAGAAATGAGGGCTGCACAGCATAGCTCAGCTCTTGGAATTATGGGGCAAAGCTTAAGCTTAAAACTTTTATGGTAGCACTGGGTGTCTGAAAACTCAGTCCGTGTTTGAGGAACAAGTGACAAGCCCTGTCCAAGGTCATGTTCTGTCAGGCAGCACAAAGAGCAGCTCTGTGGCCCAACTGGTTGCTGTAATTCCATGCCTGTTTGAAGGAAGGCTTAGAAGAGAAGACTTGCAGGTGCTATTCCTTAGCACTCTGGTTTGATCCTGCCCTGGGCTGGCACAGCACATTTAGATAAAGGGCTTCCACTAACAGTGACTTAGGCATGGCAAAAAACTGTTTCTTGTAAGAGGCAGGTACTTTTCTCATTCTTACAACATTAAAAACACATAACAAAATGCCACCAATACAGAGCTTTGTAAAATTCTCACAGTCCCTTGTAGTACCAGCAGCTGGGGAGAGCTCAAGAATTCAGAGGACCTTGGCCATAACTCATCAAAAGCCTCTGCAGTCTGTTGCCAGTGAAAATCATTTAGTGCTGGATCAAAGCCCTCCAGACTTGGGCCCTGCAAAATTCCTCTGAGAATTTTGCTGTTATTTCATTTCAAAAAAATTGTTAAAATCTTTGTGTCAGCATATGAGTCAATTCTGCCTGCTGAATCAAGAGTACTTCCAATGGACTTCAGATATCTTGGGAATTATTCTCAGTACAAGTCAGGACACTCCAAACATTTAAGTTGTTTTTCTTAAATTAAAAACATTTGCAAAAATAGCAATATGAATATTAATGCCTAAAAGTGGATGAAAATAATTGAGTTAAGGTACTGAGAAGTATCTGCTTGCACCTGAAACTTTAAAGAATGACTACTGAATTCGTGATTTGTAAGCATGAGCTCCTGAATTTTATCAACACACTAAACCAGCTTGTACAGAGTAATTTTATTAAAAATTGAGAATGTTTGTTTTTTGCTCAAATTGCTCAAGTAGTTCAGGTAATGAATAATTTGTTTCTGATCAATGCATTTTAGAATGAGCAAATCTTATCCTCTTGCACTTCTAATATTCATTGTTTGTATGGAAAAAAAACCTTTACTACTTTTCCATTTCCCAGTGAATGATCAGTTCACTAAGCAATACGCAGTGTTTCTTGACTTAAGACTGCAAAATATGCTTAGATAATTTTTCTCTCCTCCATATGAATCTGGTTATATGAGAATCTTACTCTTTTCTAGCTTCAGAAATTCTTTTTGCAATTTCCATAGATACAGTTGAATAAAAATTGCAAGGAAGACTCTAAGTCAAATGCTAAGTATAAATAAAGTACATGAAACAAACATGAAGATAAAGTATCATGAGAAAAGTCAATCCATTGCTGAATTAAATATTTATAGAACACATTGATTAGCAGAGAGTACTGATCTTTGTTAAAATTACATTTAGAAACAGACCACTGTGTTTTAGTGTCACAAGTGACAAAGGAATTTTTCTTCAGAAAAAGTGCAAACCAAAAAAATCCATTAAACTAGATCATTTAGACCAAGATTTTCTCAATTTGAGCCCATCCTGCCTGTTACATTACTGTTGTATCTTCAGGAATGCTCAGGACAACAGACATTCTCCATGGGAAGCAGCTAGGTTCAAAATGTGTCAACTAAATAAAAGAAAAATGAGCAAACTCATAGGATTTTTTAGTACTAGCTCAGCTATTGCAAAAAATGGACCAAAAAAAACCCCAAACCAGCAAAAAAGCGCTACCCACTACTGAACTAGATTTTCAGCAGTTTAAAAGAACCATGTTTTGATCTAGTTCACACACCATAGCTAAACCCAGGTTTCTGTTGGTTTGCTTGTTTGTCTTTTGGGGTTTTTACTTCTTAACAACCCTGAAAGCAGGGTCTGTCATTACTGAGATGACCATGGTTGAATAGGAACCTCTTGAAATTTTAAAATACATTATTAGAGAAACAACAGACTTCAAATGAAAAACTACTTAAAATTATCTCAAAAAAGCAAAAAGAGTTAATTCTCTATTTGGGAAATGCCATTCAGCTACCATTAACTCCCAAGCTGTGTGTTTAACTGAGATTCTGTAGCTTTGTCAGCTCACATTTTTGTTAAAAGCAGACGATGATTAAACTACATAGCAAAGCACCTCCCTTTGGTCTTTGCAAATGAATGTATACATACAAACTATGCATTTTCACACAGCTGCATACCGTATCTTGAATCACTTCAACCTTTTCCCCGAGCTTAGAAACCCCCAAACTCCAGGACCTGAAGGTGTTCCCACCTCCTTCGGCAGATATTTGTCTCCTGTCTTGTTTCTACTCTCCAAAAAAACTTAGGTACAGGACAAAGCAATGCTGAGCTGCACAGCCCCAGGTGCAGAGGGGCCTGGGGCCGCCCCAGCACCCGGGATGCTGAGCCAGAGTGCCAGAGGGGCTGGTCCCCAGCCCCTCTGGCACTCTGGCTCAGCATCCCGGGTGCTGGGGCGGCTCAGCATCCCGGGTGCTGGGGCAGGCGAGCAGGACCAGCATCTTCTCTCACCACACTCAGGAGGAGTTTGCAGCCACACTCAGCCCAGCTGTGCCAAGGAGAGGCCCCTGAGCTTGCAGAGGTCATCCTCCCCTTTGGGACAGCCTTTCCAGCCATCCCAGGTTCCTTCTGCCCATCCCTTCCCCACGGTGGCTCCGAAGATGTTCTCACCACTCAGACCTGCAGTGCCCAAAGTGCTCAGCCCTTCCTCCTGATCACTGCGGGACTTTAGGGCTGGGGTGTGCGAGGGATAAAGGATCAGAGTTTGGGTTTAGTGTACCTGCTGCTGGAAAGATGGAAAAGATGGAAAGATGGAAAATGGATGTCTTGTTCTTGTAGCTGGTGTAATTAAAGACGGAAAGAAGGTACTGCGTGCAACATTTCTTACTTAAATTTTGAGTTGTCGCTGTAATATACATCAGCCCAGTCTACTCAATGAAGTGTGTTTCTTATGCTTTATCCTACAGGAAAAAAGACCAAAAAAGTAGAAGTAATAAGAATATCCTTGCTTTAGACTAAAGCAAGCATGGACTTAACAACAAAGATTTTGTTTATATGCAAACTGTTTAGATATTTCATACCAGTATGAAGGCAGTCGTAGTCTTATGTATCCAGAGATTTGCACTCATCTAGGTTATGTTTATTAAAAACATTTTTGTGGTATATATTTGTATTTGAGGGGCCAAGTTTTTAATTTTATATTCTTTACAAGAATTAGTGTGGCAATTATGTTTTTCCATTTACTGAGCTACCTGCCCATGCTATTTGTTCATTTGTATAAAGAATATTTCCAATACTTCGGAGATTTTTGGGTGGTGTTTTCAAAGGGAACCTGCCCCAGAGGGTTCCACAGGATTGTCCAGCATGAGTGGGAGGCTCTCAGGAGCAGCAGATCACCCTTACCAGGACATGGGCTGTCACTGCAACAAACACACATGGATTCACTTCCCTGCAATCTACAACTGCCCTGTGGGCCTGGGGTAGCTCCAACTGCAGTCCCTCAAATCAAAGCTCTGACTGACATTGTCAGTCCTTTGCTGTCACTTACTATCACAAAGTTAACTTTTTACAACGAGGAAGCGCTTCCAACTCTGGCACTGATGGAAATACTGAATACTTTTAATATATATATATATCTATATATATTTGGAAAGTATTTGAACAGTGTTTTGTCTTTTTTTATACAACTTTTAGCCAAATAGAAAAATTCTGATTATTACTTCTGTGGATACCTGTCCACCTGTAAATAAACTTATATATTCAGGTACATGAACCTGAAGAAAAAAATAATAAAGACTGTTCAGGGGCTATGCGCTTTGCTAGCTCCTGGTTCCTTTGTACATAAGAGGTAACTGTTTAAATGTTGGGTGGGTTTTTTTTTTTAATTTGCTTGTTCCTCTAAAGAAAGAAGAAGAAAAAAACTTTTGACTTTGTTTTCTCTTTTCTGAGTTAATACAAAGATTTTCTAACTTTTTACTGCAGAAATGGATAAATACCTGGTGCTAAGTGAATGTGAGTCAAACTGGCCATAGCAGACACACCAGTTAGAATGCACTTTTCCTGTGGCACACAATGTATTTTCTCAGAAGGGACCTTCAAAGAACTGTCAGATGTTTACATTTCTTCTTGTTGCCCCAAATAGTTTTGAATATTCAAATAACTTCCAAAAATAAAATCATGGTCCATTACTGATGTGACAAATCCTTACATTTAAGTATCTACAACAGCTTTGTACAAATACCATTTTAGAGATAGTTGAAATATTGGGCTTTCATACTTTGTAATGCTTTGATGTGACAATAAATATGCTGTTGCTATCTAGTCTAACCTCATTGTAGACCTGTAACTCCCTGTTTCTGGTTATGTCATGAATTGCACTGGCTTGAATTCAGCCAAATACTGACTGTTCAGCTGAAATATTCCGACTGTTATGATGTCCACAAAACATTAATTAAATGCACTTGTATCTGACTACCATGGAGTATGTCAAATTATTCATGTAATAAATCCCTTGTGTATAACTTTTGTTAGTTGTTTATGTGAACTTCAGTTCTTTCACAGCCATGAATGCCGGTGCATCAACCAAGGACCAGCTGGAGTCAGTCAGTGATAACCTTTGCATCAACTTTGTTACGACCAGGGCTGATTTCCTTCCCTTTCCTCAGAGGGATGATTTTTACACGCTGTGAGCTAAGACACACGGGACAGGGATGTTGCATTCTAAGTTTTGCTGCTGTCAATTTGAAGTTCAGCCTTTAGCTGGTGACTGCGGTTTCCCACTTCCAGGCTGACGCTGCTCCTCCTGATGCATTCTGCAACCAACACTTCCCCTGTCCTGCTCCTGCCTGGCAGCCGGGGAGCAGCCTCCCTGTGCACAGCAAGGAGCAATCCTGATAGCAAAGGGCTGTTTGGCCATGGTAAAGCTGATGAAGCTACTGCTTGAAACTTGCAAGCTGGAGAGGCATCCCTGAAAAAAGTAGTTTCTTGGAAAAGGGAGTAGTTTCTTGGAGAAAAAAAATTTAAAAAGTATAAACTAATACCATTTCTGTCCAAATTCTTGACTCTCCTTCCAGCTTTGTTAGGTCATATTTAGATTTTTCCTTTGGCTAATGCATTCCTGCCTACTGCTGCAATGCCAAGTCCAATATAAATAGCAAGGCTATTAAACTTAATGAGTGGTTTAATCACTCTTGTGCTCTCATTTTCCCCCCTTCAAGCAGCACCTCCTCACCACACACGCGCGCACTCGGCCGCCTCTCCAGCAAAGGAAACCCGCGAACAAACCCGTTCTCGGAGCCAGAGGTGCCGGTGCCGGTGCCGGTGCCGGTGCCGGTGCCGGTGCCGGGCGTGTCCCACCATCCCTCGCCCTGATCCCGCCCTGATCCCGCCCATCCCGGGCTGCTGAGGAGCAGCAGCTGCCCGCACTGCCCCGCTCCTGCCCGCAGGTACTCAGAGCTGTCGGACGTGGAGCATTAGAGTGGGGAATCCTGTGGCTGATTCCTGTAGATATAAAAAGGAGGGGATCTGAAGTCGGATAATTACCAAAAAAGCATTTAAGTGGTATTTCAGACTAAATTCCACTAATTAAATGCCACTTTAAGAGATAATAATCTCTGCTGTAATTGATGTTTCTGAAGACAGATGGGCTGTCTTCAGAATTAAAGTTTTCATCATATTTTCTGCATTAAAGGGATTCAATTTTAGACCAAAATTCAATATATATACTTCCCTCGCTCCACTCCTGCAAAGGCTTCTTTTTTTTTTTCTTTTTTTCTTTTTTTTTTATCCAGTTCTGCACTCAGACATTAATGACTAGCATAGGTGCATTTGATTCAGAAATACTTCACAACCTCATGTACTTCCCAGAGAAAATTTCGAGACAGAATGGTTCAGTCTCTACCTGCATCAGAACGTCCTCTAACCTCATTTCTTGTAGTAAAATAATTCACTAGATTCAAGTTTAGACTTCTAATAATCTTAACTGCAAGAAAACAATTTCTTTTTTAAGTGACCTGTGCATTTTGTAGTTTGCATGTTGCCATCATCCTGCTTTATGCTACTACATTTGAGACCTGTTCTCCAAATGTGGCCTTGCAGAATCACTATGTTATAGTATTACTTCTGATGTCAGGTCTGAATGGAAATCTGCTGCACCAGAAGCAACTTTTTAGCAATGCAAATATTGCTTAGAGAACAATAATATTATTTTGGTGCCCTTAACCAAACATATTATTTTCCAGTTTATTTGCTTAACTGCCAACTTTTTTCTCCCTCTCCCACACACTCATTTCTGTGATGCCAACAAAAATATTTATGTCATAAAAATTATTTGAAGACTAAGCTACACTTCTCTTTTTGGCTTACAAAATAATAAGCAAACATTATGCTAAGATTTATGTTCTAAAATTAACTTTGGAGAGGTAAAAGAATTCGCACCTTCCTCAATTATATTTTGCCTATTTATCCCCAGAAGATACCACTGTGAACAGACACAGCTCTGCTCTTTTTTTTTTTTTTTTTTTTTTTTCTTTTATAGTTTCTGGGGAAGAAGAGTTTTCAAACACATTTATTTCAATGCAAGGCAAATGACAAGCAAATTTCTCATTACTCTGTCTCAGCTTTGCCTTGTGATACCTATTGCAAAGTGTTGCTCTGAGACAAGACTTCATTGGTTTTTTTTCCAGTTGTAAAAAGCCAAAAGTTATGGGTGGTGAGAAAGGGAGGAACCACTACCAAAGACTGGATTAAACCACCAAGGTTGTTTTTAACCAAGCAAGGGCCATAGCTCCAAGTGTCTTGTCTGACTCTGACGATCACTAGTCCACCAAACATTCATTTCAGTATTTTTCAGTAATATGTGAACATTCCCTTTGGCTATTGGCTAAAAGCCTACCTACCCACCTTTCCCAGGCTTTTAAACTGTTAGCTTTGTAGGCTTTTTAGCTTTCCTTCTAAATACTATTAGCAGTATATATATAAAAGATACATGTGATAATGTGTGTGTGTATATATATATATTTCAGAGATGCTTTTCAAAAAATTAGTTTTCATAGTGACAACATCCAGAAAAAGTTGGGGAAAGCTATAAACTAGCCCTTAAAAAAGATGAGAATGAAAATATGTGCAGCCTAAAACTATATTACATACAACTGATACCAAAACAACACCACGTTTGTTGAAGCAGGTGCCGACTGTACAGTCTGGAGATCAAGACATTTTTTTCCACGCATTCAGGGGAAGTAAAATCTTATCCCGTGCTGACCTCCTGTGGTACGTAAGGAATCTGCAGTCGCCAAAAATAGTAGCCAGAAGTCAAGAGGACCGCGAGGTAGGATAGATACCGGTTGGCTCCAGTTGGGTCCTCCAGTCCCAGGCTGGGAATGAGCACGTCCCAGAGGACACACATCCCACACGCCTTAAAACTTTGGTGTTTAACTGTCACACACACAAACTCCTACATCTTACCCAATACTTAAACATGGTGAACAGATCAGGTAAAAACAGTTCCTAAATTTGAGAAGGGTTGATCTAAATTCCTTGCAAAGAAATACAAGAAGCTTTAGCTTGGACTCTTGTCCTTCATCCTTGCTATGTTTGTGTCATTATCAATACTGAGTTATCTCACTGTGTACAAGGCATGGAGCATCCCTCTCTCACTACTTGTGGTTGAGAACATTTGACTGATTAATCCGTGGAAGGCCAAGTCTTTTGTCTCACTTCTGATACCTTTGCTGTTGTTCCATTTCCCACCAGCACGGTGCACACCACAGCTGTCCAAGGGAGGTGATACTCAGGCTCTACAGCTCAATATTCACTCCTCTAAGGGCTTGCTCACATCATTCAAATCACTTATTCCATTTAGGCTCCAGAGGATCAGAAAATGAGTCAGTAAGTGGGAACCCAAATATATTTAACACCATCCCTCAGTGGTGAGCCCATTTAAGGGCACGGGAAGCAGACACTACGAGCTCTGGCAGCAGTGAACTGTCAAAGCCTGAGGGCTTCGAAAAAACAGGGTTATCACATTCTTACCCCACCCTGAAATCCACTTGCACTAGATACCCTTTCATTTTGGTACACCTATACCTGTCCCACTAGACCTGCTTCCTCGTCCCTGGCACACACCTCACCTACTCTCCAGATGATGCAGAGCATTCCCTACCCTCACAGGCACAAGGCTCTGACCAACAGTGTCCACACAAGTGTTCAGTAAAAAGGGGGCTCTGAGTCCTACTTCAGAAGAGGGAACAAATGTATTCCTGCAGCCTTGCTCTTTTGTCACTGGCAGAAGCAGCAGTGCTTCCCAGTGCACCCCCTGAAAGCAGAGCACACCGAGGATGCCTTCATCTTACCACACAGCTGGAACCGCTACTCAAACACAAACACAGAATCCTTCTAGCTACAGATCCTGTGCTTTCAAGTCCCACCCCCACACAGTGAGCAAGCCACCCCCAGAAATCACTGCCAGATATGCTTTTAAGTCTTTTTCAGGCCATCAACACACGTCTAGCCATTGTAGAGGAGAAACTGGTGTGTTATTTTTGCTTCTCATTATTTCTCCCCTCTTCTCTGCTCTGGTGTCTATCAGCATCACCGCGGTTGCTTCCCGTCGTGACTGCAGTATGAGGTCAGTGAAGTGGTGACTCACATAACCAAGTTTAGCTTGAGATTTTAGCCAGGGCTGACCAGGCTTTCTACAGTGCTGTAGGGCAGAGATTTCTGTTTGGAGACTTAAATGACATCCTCTTTAGAAAAGGGCTGGTTCCTTCCTTCTGGTCACGGACCTCTTGACCTATGAAACTAAACAGGATACAGAAAAACAGGAGGAAGGAGGAAGGAAAATGTTTTTTACTTCCGCAGCTTTATTAAAAACCAGAAATTTTCAAAAATATATGTGAAATCCCACTCCCAGGCTGCTTCTTTCTTGGGTTCTCTTTTCTTTAAATATTTGTGTTTTCCCCCAGAACGGTGGTGAGGGGTTTTGGCATTTCAGGCTGAACTTAGACTATTTGGCTCACTACATGTGCTCATTTTCTGCGTTCCTCTCCCTGCCAGCTTTGTTGCTTCCCAAAGACAGCAGCAAAATGAGAAGTACAATCCCCCACTGAAGATGTTTCATATTTAGAACCGGCACTTTATGATAAAGACATATCCTGCACTGCACTGCTACCAGACATGTGGAGAGGCAGAGCGGGTACGGTGTCAGGGCAGGGGAACTAGAAAGCTATCAGAGGAAAGCAAGATGAAAGTGGAAGGGAAATGAAGTAAGTGGGTGATAAAATAATTCTGTTATATAGGAGCAAGCCAGAAGGATCAAAGGATCTCTTATATTTGCATTTTATCCTCATTTCTGTTCCTTGCCATTTCCTTCCTCTGCTGTATATTATTATCACCTCTATTATAAAACTTTCTGGTTGCTTGCAATTATCCCCCCTTTAATCTCATGCTAGGCTCTTCCTCTTTGATCCATGCCTTCTTGCCATATGAGTGATTGTGTGACTGCTGCATATATATGTAAAAA